CCATGGGGGCTGTGGACGCGTGGGGGAGAGATGAAGGGGGAAGGAGAGACTGACAAGTGGGTCCCACACCGTTTTTCAATCTAGGTTGCCATGTTGGCATACCACGTAGGTAAAAGTGGCAAATAATTAAGAGACCATCTCTTAAGAAGGAAAAAAAAATAACTGCACACCTAATAAGGGTATTTGGATAATTGTCAAATCTAAAAGTGGTAAATAGTTAAATTCCCCCCCCCCCCCTCCGGTGTGACGGCGAAGTGGCTCCCTGTTCAGTCAAATCTCCTTCTAGATGTGCACAGCAAGAATGGTCGGCAGAGTCCAGAGTCCCAACAGCCAACACCAAAAGAGTAGGGGTGGAAATGAGCCGAGCTTGGCTCGTCTTAGCTTGTAGTGACTCGCAACAAGCTAGGCTTGGCTTGGCTCGTTTCCTGGCTCGAGCCAGCTTGAGCTAGCTTGCAAGCCTTCATGTTGAAACACCTCTTCATATATATTTTATAATTATTAAAAAACAAGAACAAATCATCAACCTATAAAATTTAAATAAGTTTATATATTCAATTATTTAAAATCTTAATGATAAATTTTAAGTTGACAAATAATAACTTCTTAAAAAATAATCGATATAAACACATGATGGCCTAGGCTTGTGAGCTAGCTCGGACTCGACTCATTTCAGCAACGAGCTAAATAAGAGGCTTGGGCTTGACTTGTTTAACTTACGAGCCGAGCCAAGCTCACCAAGCTCGAGCCAAGCTCACGAGCCCAAGCTTATTTTTCCACTCCTACATACGAGTCCAGAGTCCAGAGTCCCAACACCAGACGAGCTCGAGCTCGCCGGCTCTGGGAGGTCACAGCGTGACAGGAGGTGCTAGCTTCGTTTTTCTTTTTTAAAAAAGTGATATTAATCAATTTTTCAAATTTAAAATGATTAATTAATCATATATTAATACTCGGCTCGTTTTAAGTCTTAATCCCCTTAACACACCTTCTTAATCATTTAGCATTCCAGTCAATGTCAATTTTCCTTTCGTCGCCACGGACACACTAGTTTGTCCGGCATGTATATGCTCACGGCATGTCGGCATATAAGTGCCACTTTTCCAGAAAACTCAAATCATTTCTTAAATGGATATCTTCTTATTTTTACATGTCACTTAAAAGTCATCAAGGAATTTTCAGAGGGATGCTGATCACTTGGGGAACCTGTTGGCAGACTTTGTGTTTGACAAGCTTCTGACAGAGGCCCTGCTTACTTCCCAAAACAAAAATTTTCTACCTATCACATTGAATATTAGGACATATGCATGGAGTATTAAATATAGGAAAAAAAACCAATTACATAGATTAAGACTAATTTGAGAGACGAATCTTTTGAGCCTAATTATTTCATGATTTGTCAATGTGGCGCTACAGTAAACATTTGCTAATGACATATTAATTAGGCTTAATATATTCGTCTCACAGTTTTCTGGCGGAATCTATAATTTGTTTTGTTATTAGACTATGTTTAATACTTCGAATGTGTGTCCGTATATCCGATGTGACAACCAAACCTAAAAGTTTTCCCCAACTAAACAAGGCCAGATTTCACTCTTCAGGTTGGAAATTTTGAGTCTAACTAGTTTGTAAAGTACACGAGCGGTCCTTAAACTTGTAGGGATGTATCATTTAGGTCCCTAAACTCTTAAATGCTTAACCAGAGTAAAGTGCATTGGCGGTCCTTAAACTTATAGGGTTGTGTCATATAGGTCCATAAACTCTCAAAATGCATATCCAAGTCTCAGAACTTGTCAAAGTATATCATCTAGGTCCCAAATTGACACATCCCCTCTAGGATCTTATGTGGCGCTGATGTGGCAATGCCACATGGACATGACGTGCTCTTTTCTCTTTTTTTTCTTCTTTTCTTTTTCGTTTTCTTCTCATTCTTATTTTTTTCTTTCTTTTGCACGGGTCACAGAAAGGAGAAGAAAGGGAAAAAAGAGAAGAAAAAAATAATGTCGCGTTATGTCCGTGTGGCATGCCACATCAACGCCTCGTAGGATCATAAAGGGGTTGTGGCGATTTGGGACCTAGATGACACACTATGACAAGTTCCGGTACTTGGATTTGTATTTTGAGAGTTTCGGGGCCTAGATCCTATGCACTTTACTCTCTCTCTTTTTTATTTTGCCCCCTAATTTTGTTGGTCTAGCTGTTTCTACAGTGGAAGGCTATGTTATCCTCATGTATATATTAACATTCTATTTGTTATCTCCTTGAAGAGATCAAGGTTTGGAGGGGTGGTTGTTACTTGTTACTTGTTAGGGCTTAGGAATTCAATTCATGTGCTGAAAGGTTTTGAAATTTATATACTGGGTGAGGTTGAAGGAGCAATTGTTTTTAACCAGTTTTTGGATACATAATCTCGTAGAAGTAATGTTGAAGAAATTTATGAGTCAACAAATGGTGAGGAGCAGGAATTCATATATATTCTGAAAGTTCCCTAAACTCTTATCTACTCAAACTGCTGCTGATTCTGCCTAAAATTCCAAGAAAAATTTGTAATATTTATAGGTGCAAAATGCTTCTTACTAGCGCTCATGAGCTCGTAAGCTCCCAACCATGTGAAAACTAAAGGAATAAATCCACTTTGACTCCCTCAAATATAGGTCAAATCAAATCCGTATCCCTTAACCGTAATACCAGATATCTTGACCCCCCTCCCACTATTAAATCCAGTGCAAAATGACTCTCTCGGTGGTTTTGAGGATAGTTTCCACTAATGTGGCTCGTTCACCTAGTCCAACCAGCTGAGTCAGCATGTGGGGGCCCATAAGTCACCCACTCTGCCACCGTCGAGAGACATGGGGCCATACAACTCCCTCGAGCTCCTTAGCCACCATTGCGCTACTGTCGACCGCTGCCTTCTCCTCAATCTCCCACTGCCCGAGCGCCGCGCTACCCACTGTTGGTGTCGCCAAAGCCGAAATATATAGGGTGAGGGAGAGAAAGGGGTGGAGAAGGAAATAGTGGGAGATGACATGTGGGCCTTCGACTGGTTGGACTAGGTCAACGAGCCACGTTGGTGAAAATCACCCTCAAAATCACCAAGAGAGTCATTTTGCATATTAAACTTGTAACTAGGTGTAATCGGTGTCATGCATGCAGCAAACCGACAGGGACATATTAAACTTGGACCCCTATTCGGGTCTCCGCGGGGAGCGGGGACAAGGAAAGGACCATCTCCGCCCCCGCGAAAATTGACGGGGGCATGTCTTCTCCTATTTATGTCCCCGTGAAAAACCAATTGTAACCATCCTTGCTTCCTAATAGGTGAATTCACCACGAGAAAACGGTGAACATCTCTAGGCATGCCCCGCCACACCCAGTGAACAACACTCGACATGAGGAAGATGCCGCGCGCCAAACATTGGTGAACAGAAAGACTAACGGAGAACTGTGTTTTGTCGGTTTTGGGCCTATTTAGTTCGCGAAAAGAAAATTTTTGGATGTCACATCGGATGTTTGATAGGATATCGGAAGGAGTTTTTGGACATGAATAAAAAACTAATTTCATAACTCGTCTGTAAACCGCGAGACGATTGAGCCTAATTAATCCGTTATTAGCACATGTGAGTTACTGTAGCATTTATGGCTAATTATACACTAATTAGGCTCAAAAAATTCATCTCACGATTTCTCCCCTAACCGTGCAATTAGTTTTTTTAATCTATATTGCATTATTGCATGTGTTTAAAGATTTGATACGATGTTTTTGATAGAAAAAATTGGGGAAACCAGGCCTTTGTTTACCGGCGCAGGGAGTCACTATTCACTAGCACTGAAAATATGTCATCACCTCAGGGAGCAAAAAAAAAAAGATTTAAGAAAAAGGAGATTTTTAGAGCACGGTTGGCACAAGAGAATTTTATTAAGATAATATGGAGTTCAAACGTAATAAAGTCATTAAACGGTTAGCAAGATTAAAAAGGTTGATATAGCTTGACTTAAAAACAATACTGATTTGAATTTCATTACTAATAATTAAAGATAAGAAAATTACATGCATATTCACTTGCAGTATGTAAGTAGAGAAATTACAATTTAAAATTACAAAGAACTACCCTGATCACTTTTCTTAGTAATAAATTTTTAGAGCACATTACTCTCATGGAACATATGCAAATTTCAAAATCTGTCTGTTACGGTAAAAGAAGCAACTGGATCTGAATGGACCATGAACTTAGGCACTTAGCCCATGATAGCACGGAAGTTAACACACATCCATCAGTACAAAATCTGATTGTTTTCTCTTAAAAAAATGTCAACACAAATCTAGCAAATCCCCCAAAGAAAAATGCTACGAGAAGTGGACACAGGCTGACCGTACTTTAGCGGTCTAGCTAAATTTCCACCATTTGCCTGTTGCCTTATTAATCCGCATCCATAGTTTGATTTTTGAAATATACTACCTCCGTTTTTTAATAGATGACACCGTTGACTTTTTCTTATTTGTTTGACCATTCGTCTTATTTAAAAAATTTATGTAAATGGATAAGATATAAATCACACTTAAAGTACTATGAGTGATAAAACAACTCATAACAAAGTAAATTATAATTACGTAAATTTTTTGAATAAGACGAATGGTCAAACATGTGAGAAAAAGTCAACGGCATCATCTATTAAAAAACAGAGGTAGTATATAGTTAATTTTAAGGTTTTCTGATTGTAGTTTATTTTCTAAAACCATCGCTAAGAACAAATATAAAGTTTAACCAAATTTATTTTGTTGTTCTGTTAGTTTTTCCACGGCTTATGAGATGTAAAGAAAACGATGAGGTCTAGGTTCTACACGGTGCGAATTCAACCTCGGGGTGACTGAACAAAATGTATATTTTGTCAAATAGTCAGCTACAAAAAAAAAAGGAACAAATCCACCTTGCACCTCATATCATTGGGATACAACTTTTCCGCAGCAAAACGCAGAGCTTTTATCTAGTTTCATCGCAATTCGTCCATTTCAAACAGAACCCGTGGCTTCACCAACGAATATAAGCATATTTATAAGGATCCATAACGATTCCATTGCTAGCCACAAATTACCATAAACAAGACAACAGACACCGGAGAAGTTGTCTAGTTCAAGCAGATGCATAACCAAAACCAAGTCAAATTTCGCATGAAACACCAAATCTAAAATTATAGCTGCTAAATTACTGCTGCTTTCACCAAACTTACATTCATCATAGTGGACAGTTTCAGTCCAAATACAGCCTAGTCTTGCCACTGTTCGTTCAAACCTTCACATGGTCATTCTGCTTCCCTGCATCAGGCAAAATAAGGATTCAGACATAACTCAGAACACAAGTTATTCCCAGCAAACAATAAAATAAAATAAGTACCATCATAGGTCTCATGACAATGAATTAAAATAAATGGTCAAATGGTTAAGAAATTCCAATCGTCACAAGAGATCGGGTGAAATTGCTTTATGAACCACCGAATTTACATACTGCAGTTCGGTAACATCGTACCATGAAAAGAACATATAAGGATTTCTTGTTCCAGACCGTGAAGCTACCTGAGTCCAGTGCATACTTTTGTAAAATATAAGTATTGTGTTGCGCCGTTTAACCAAGCACAGACTTGTTGACAGTTTAACTCAACAGAATAATCACCGGATATCAATCTAAGCTAACCATGAGGCAGACCGGTAACATCATACCATGAAAAGAGCATATGAGGATTTCCAATTCCAGACCATGAAGCTACCCTAGTCCGGTGCATACTTTTTTTGTGTTGCGCAATTTTAACCAAGCACGTACTTATTGACGGTTTAACTCAATAGCATAATCACTGGATATCAATCTATGCTAACCATGGGGCGGACGTCCCATATGAACAGGTAGATATTTGGGTTACATTAGCAATGGAAACAACCTTAATCACAGCTTTTGATGATTTGATCAAGCGTGCCAAATAAAAGAGCCACAGCCAGATCTGAATCTAATCTAGAGCATAAATGCAGGATCGCAGTTGTATACAACAATTGTTGGCTTGTTAAACATAGTTCCAGATTAAAACTGTATTCGCTAGTTGCCTACCTAAAATAAAAAAAACTCAAATGTTTAAGCAAATATAATAGATAACCTAAGAGGATGATTACTACTCCGTAGTTAACTAGTACTTACTTTTGTGGGCATGTGTACTTTAATGGTGTATACCAGATTAATAAGGGTTGGGTGAGCACAGGGGATGGAGCACAGTCCCTAAGGAACAATACATCGAAGCAGATATCTACACTATCTTAACGACAGAGTCAAGTGGTACAAAACAATTCAGTGAAGGCTAGAAAGCAACTTAATGATCAGTTATAACCTTTACAGAGTAACCCCCCCCCCCCCCAACACACACGCACACAAAAAAAGAGAAGGAAATCCATGCAGACCATAAATGACCTTCATCCAGGTTGCCTAATACTAAACTGATTAGTCAGCTAATCAAATTCTCAAATGCAGCTTCCTGACAATTTGTCATGTCATAACTTGGGTGGAAAACTATACTGCATTAGTCAGCAAATCGAAATCTCAAATGAGGCTTCCTAACGATTTCTCATGTCACAACTTGGGTGGAAAAAAGGAAGACTGCATTAGTAAGCAAATCGAAATCTCAAATGCAGCTTCCTAAAGATTTTCTCATGTCATGGGACCTGATTGAGCAGCAACGTAAGGGTGTAAAGAATGGAAAGTGTTTGAAGCTTACATAGTTAAAGCAGCAACAACCGGCGAAGGATGAGCCAAATGACGAGTCCGATCAATAAGTTTGTAAATCTGTCTGTGCTGTTTGGTTATGACAGTATAATTATTGTCCTCAGTGTCATCCCCTCCAACCTGAGAGTAGGTGCGATGAACGATACGCGCTTTATGCAGCTTGGCGTCTGGACCAGGAGTAGCAGCAGATCGAACGTCGATGGAAGAGAAGATGCCCTTCCCCAAGGAGCAGAAAAGCTGCCCTGGAACAATGCCCTTGGACACCACGGGGATGTTGAGGATGGACAACTCCGTCTTGTGTGACCCTGAACTTGTTGGCTGTAAGGGGAAGACCCTGATGTCGTACACTGCAGCAGCACCGCCATTGGCTATGGAGCGGGCAATGAAGAGGTGGCCACCAAGGGGAACAGCCTTGCCGATGAAAGGCAAGTTGTTGGCGTCCACCATATCCCACTGGTTGGTGTCCATGTCGAAAGCGCAGGTGCCCTTGTCTTGCTGCACGGAGAGCAGTATGTGGGAGCCGACCACGGCGTAGGAGGCGACGCGGACCTCCGGCGGGTCACGGTACTCGAGCGGGTTGAGGCGGACAGGGAAGATGGGCGGCGGCGGCAAGTGGTGCCATCCCATGGTTCTCGCGTCGTGAGGGGCGACCAAGACGTAGTTGAGGTCGAGGTACACGAACCAGGGCAGGAAGTCGAGGCCGGGCACGACGGAAGGGGTTCGGGAGAGCGCATACAGCTTGCTGCCCCGCGGGATGAGGACGGGCCGGAGCTTAGGCTCGACGAGGAAGGGGCCGGGGATCTCCATCGAGGTCTTGGGGTCGTACACCGTGGTGAACAACTTGCCGCCGACGCCTACGATCCGGGGCCCGTAGCGCGACTCCACGGTGGCGAAGGACATCCCGCGGACGTTGTGAAGCACAAGGTGGGCTTCGCCGCCGCCGCCGCCGCCGCCGAGCTCGACGATGGAGTGCGCGGGCACCTCCTGGTCATCGTCGTGCTCCACCGCAAGGTACACCGGCTTCCCGGCGGCCTCGCGAGGAGAAGCACGACCCAGGCGATTAAGCCTCAGTCCCACCGGCGCCACCGCGCCGTCCTTCCCCTTACTCCTCCTCTTCTTCTGGCTAGGCGTCGACATTGTTTGGTCTGGGACTTGGGATGGGGAACGGCAGCGGCGGCGAGTGCGAGTAGACAGAGAAAGAGGAAGGAAACCCTACATAGGCCGGGTCCTCCTCCTCATTGGCCCGAGTGAAACGGCCCATGCTCCGCCATGGCTTTTGAATCGGAAGTAAGTCCACTTTGACTCCCTCAAATATAGCTGCACCGCATATCCAACAGCCTCTCCAAGTGACTTTCCAAGCCAAATTTTAGCCATTATTATAAAAAAAAAAGGGGGTTAATTGGATCCATGCTATTGCAACTTTTCTAAATTAAAAAAATACCACTACTATTCGTCATATCAGCTACATATGCCACTCGAAATGTCTAAAATTAGAATTATGTCACTCTAGTCACTTTTTCCGTCCTGCTCTCTCACGCCGTCTTTGTTCCCGTCCTTATCCCCCTCCCTCCTTCCCGTCCTCCCGCTCCCAGGTCACCACTGCTGGGGACAACACCACCACCGTCGTCGTAGCCTACGCAAGGGTCGGCGGCGGCGGTGCAAGAAGACGAGGCTGGCTTGTGGTTCCTGTTCGCTCTCACCGACTCACTGGAGAAGGACATCATCTCGGACCTCTTCTACGAGGCGCTCATCGCAGCGGTGGTGGCGGCTGCGGCTGCTGGCCCAGGCGCCGACAGCGACGGCGACGGGCATAAACCTACATCCACGACCAAACCTATGGAGTAATCCACACTTGAACACCTCGAGACCCCTACACCTTCTCCACCACCCGGAAGCTTCCTCGCCCTCGCCACGCACGGTCGCTGACTGAGACGGCGGCGGTGGCGGTGTCGCCGCATACGGAGACGGCGTGCCTCCCCATGAAGCCGCCCTTGTCAGTCGTCGGCCTCATGTAGGAACTGGTCGCCGCCTTCCTCGTCGTCCCCTTCCGTCTACGGTGCCCATCACCCGCTCGTCCGCCACCACCACCGTTGCGGCACCCACTCTCCCTCACGAGCACCCTCTCCAACTCCCGCGTGATCCACTCCACCTCATATATGTCCAACAGCATCATCCCCTTCCCCGGCGACCGCGCCGGTAGTGGCGGCTGCGGCGGCGAAGGAAAGCCTTGCAAGGACGACGCGGCAATGGTGGAGGAGGAGCATGGCGGGCCAGGCGCAGCGTCCGAGGCGCCACACGACCTGATGCCGCCGGCCAAGTCGACGCACGCGTCTTGCTCAAGGCAGCAAATGATGAGCCTGGCGGATGGCGACGACAATGCCGGGGACCTGTCGGTGCTCGTCCGGGCGAGGACGTCCAGTGGCGCGGCGCAGCAGAAGGCGGAGGCTGGCGGCGCCACGTCGTCATCGATGCTAAGTGCGATCGGGTCGAGCATATGTGGATTTGTTCGGATTCGCCCTTGTCGTCGTCGATCTGACTCACTCGGACCTCCTTGCCTAGTTCGTCGTCGACGTTTCCCTCGCCGGGAGGTCCACCGCGGTGGTCGGGATGAGGACGGGAACGGAGACGGCGTGAGAGAGGAGGACGGAGAAAGTGACTGGAGTGGCATGGTTACAATTTTAGAATTTTCCAGTGGCATGTAGCTGATATAACAAATAGTAGTGGCATTTTTTCAATTTGGCAAAGTTGCAGAGGCATGGATCCAATTAACCCAAAAAAAAGCATCTTCCAACAGCGTCTCCAAATGGCCAAAACCTTCCCTCCACTAGCCAAACATGGCCAGCCAAAGTCACTAGTCAAAGGTGCGCCCCACATTCATTCCTCCTCCCATCTACACATTCTTTTCTTCGCTGGTGCTCGTTGCTGTTAGTCGGCTAGCGTTGACGACGGCATGGAGCAGAGAGGCGCCGGAGCTGCCTCCCTCCGCCCGCATACCCCCTGTTGTCGTCCCAATCTTCCCTGGAGACAGGATGCCTCCGCCGCCCCTGCCGCCGACGATGGCATGGAGCAAAGATGCACCGGAGCTACCTTCCTGTGACATCCTGGCCCAATTTGGATTAGGTTTGTTATGCCCATGTGAGTTGTGTGCGCATATTTAGTACCACCTTACTAGCTTAGTATGAGTGGAACCAACTTATAAAGCCTATTCCCTTCAACTATATCACTCTCGGGTTAACCCTTTTACACGAAGCGAGGACGAAAGTGTAAGTGGGGTGGTATGTGTAAGTGGGCCTGCCCGTCGGATGGGCTGGCTACGCGGTTCTGGAGGGACGACTGTTACAAATGGTACCAGAGATGACCCTTGCGGTTGCACGTACCGGTCAGTGTGCAGGCATATGGCGCATAGCGATGTGGGATCTGTGTGATGCATTGCCTGTGTGGAACCAACTTATAAGGCATATTTGGATGTGTGCGCATGTTTACTACCACCTTGCTAGTTTAGCATGAGTGAAACCAACTTATAAGGCATATTCCCTCCAACCATGAGGCATATTCCCTCCAACCATGAGTGGAACTAACTTATAAGGCATATTTCTCCAACCATGAGTGGAACCAACTAAGGCATATTTAGATGTGTGCGCATGTTTACTACCACCTTGATAGTTTAGCATGAGTGGAACCAACTTATAAGGCATGTTCCCTCCAACCATGAGTGGAACCAACTTATAAGGCATATTCCCTGCCTCCCTCCAACCATGAGTGGGACCAACTTATAAGGCATATTCCCTCCAACCGTGCCTCCAACCCGTTACAAATGGTACCAGAGACGACCCTTGCGGTTGCGCGTACGGGTCAGTGTGCAGGCATATGGCGCATAGCGATGTAGGATCTGTGTTGATGCATTACCTGTGTGGAACCAACTTATAAGGCATATTCCCTCGGTTGCGTGTACGGGTCAGTGTGCAGGCATATGGCGCATAGCAATGTAGGATCTATGTTGATGCATTGCCTATGTGGAACCAACTTATAAGGCATATTCCCTCTAATCATATCAACTTATAAGGCATATTCCAGCCATATCATATTCCCTCCAATCATATCAACTTATATGGCCGTTACAAATGGTACCAGAGACGACCCTTGCGATTGCGGGTCAGTGTACAGGCATATGACGCATAGCGATGTAGGATCTGTGTTGATGCATTGCCTGTGTGGAACCAACTTATAAGGCATATTCCCTCCAATCATATCAACTTATAAGGCATATTCCAACCATATCATATTCCCTCCAATCATATCAACTTATATGGCGCATAGCGATGTAGGATCTGTGTTGATGCATTGCCTGTGTGGAACCAACCATATCAACTTAGCTGTGTGCATTTGCCATGTGAGCTGTGTGCGCATGTTTACTATGTTTAGCTGTGCGCATGTTTACTATGTTTAGTTGTGTGCGCATGTTTATGTTAACAGTGAAATTTGGTAAGCCCCAAAGTCACCATCAGCTTGGAGTCAATGTCGGCTTCAAAGTTCTAGAATCAGCCGATGAGAGTCAAGTCGCCACGATGTCGTGTTCTCGATGGAGTCGGATCAAAGAGTTCGAGTTCAAGAAGGATGCGGCATGGCAGTTTATCTATTAATTAGGAATAGTTTGTTAGTTTCCTTTTGTCTTTAGGAAAGTGTGTTTAGTGTCCGATAAGGACTTTATGTTTTCCTTTTATCTTTAGGATAGTTTCTTTCTTGTCCAGCAAGGACTTGTATTAACCCATGGGTATAAATATGTGCACCCGGGGTCTATGTAATCTATCAATCTATCGATCAATAACACTCTCGGTGCATCGCCACCCTCTTCCCTGAGGTTTTTACTTCTCTTCTGGCGGAATTTGGGCACCTGACGCGGGGCTGCATTGGCTTTTGATCTCCAGCGAAGGGGTAAGTCCTACATTCCGTCGGGCCCTAGTGAATCTGTCATCTACATCGGCGTCGTTCAAGGCTGCATTGTTATGATCTCTTGGATCACTCTGGTTTGGTTGATATATTTGCCTACCAAATATCTCAATTATATCTCTAATTGTATTGTGTTTAGAGACGAATCGGTTTAGCTGGGATTATCTCGGTTAGGTCTGATCTCCTGTATTAGCCGATATATCTCTACAATCATAATGTTGTTCTAAACTGATTTGTTACATCCATCACATTAGACAGATCTATCGGCTCATCGAGTATTAGATTATCATATACAATCTCGTGCTGCATCGGTTAGGTTCGACCTACTAGATTGTTGTTGATAATATAAGTCTTATTAAGCCGATAGGTTCATGCTAATGTTTTATCGGGGTGCTAGCCGATAAGTTATCTGGACGTTGCATCGACTTATAAGGATTGCATATACATATAAGTTGGATTTAGCCGATGGCAACAAAGGTTTCACTGTTTAATCTAATCTTGTGGATTTTATGACATTGGACCTCCAGCCGATGCATGCTTTAACCTTCGGGTCAATACTTGTTCTACTATATCATATTGTTAGCCGATTGGTTTCTATTGGATTATATTGCTATATTATATTATCATCAGCCGATTGCATTTATATCATTATCTACATTAGACATATAGCCGATTGTTTAAACCCTATCGCTATCGGCTGGTATCGACATCGACTATTATCGGCTATCGGCTGGAACTACTCCATCGGTTTGTCAGCAGATCGGCTGTTTGATCTATTATTTGTATATCTTGTCAGTTACAGGATCAAACTGACTGGCACGCCCGCATCTCATCAATCTTTGGACCTGCACAGGAGTTAAGCAGATCTCCCAGGCCGGTGTGTTCGATTTTTTCGTCAATAGTTTACTACCACCTTGCTAGTTTAGCATGAGTGGAACCTGTGTGCGCATGTTTACTACCACCTTGCTATGCCGTGTGCGCATGTTTACTACCACCTTGCTAGTTTAGCATGAGTGGAACCAACTTATAAGGCATATTCCCTCCAACCATATCACTCCTTGCATGTTTACTACCACCTTGCTAGTTTAGCATCCAACCATATCACTCCTTGCATGTTTACTACCACCTTGCTAGTTTAGCATGAGTGGAACCAACTTATAAGGCATATTCCCTCACTCCTTGCATGTTTACTAACACCTTGCTAGTTTAGCATGAGTGGAACCAACTTATAATGCATATTCCCTCCAACCATATCACTCCTTTGTTCGGTCACTTCTCTTCTCTTTGTTCGGTCAATTCTCTTCTCGTTTAACCGAAAAAACCGAATTATCAAAAAAGTCTAAATGCAACCTACAATCCACTACGTTCAATTAGGACTAAGCTCTAATTTTCACATCCTTACTTATTATAGGCATGCAACCTAATAAGAGTATTTACTCATAAGTGCTTACGAATTTTTTTGTAACTTTTGTGTTGAAAATTTCCATTTTCTTTGCATATATGAAAATGTTGTTGAATTTCGGTCAGGACCGAGACCGAATTTGTCTGTCCTGACATTTTTTGCATTGAAATTCGGTCTTCAATTTTCAAAGACCGAAAGACCGAAGACCGAGACCGAAATTTTCGGTTAGACCGAATGCCCACCCCTAGTTGTGTGCGCATGTTTAGTTTAGCATGAGTGGAAGGGTGTATGTGACATCCTGGCCCAATTTGGATTAGGCCTGTGTGGCTCATGTGAGCTGTGTGCGCATGTTTAGTACCACCCTGCTCAGGGTGTATGTGACATCCTGGCCCAATTTGGATTAGGCCTATGTGGCCCATGTGAGCTGTGTGTGTGGGCCATGTGAGTTGTGTGCGCTTGTTTAGTACCACCTTGCTAGTTTAGCATGAGTGGATTCAACTTATAAGGCATATTCCCACCTTGCTAGTTTAGCATGAGTGGAACCAACTTATAAGTAAGGCATATTCCTTTTTACACGAAGCGAGAACGAAAGTGTAAGCGGGGTGGTATGTGTAAGTGGGCCCACCCGTCGAATAGGCTGGCTATGCGGTTCTGGAGGGACGGCTGTTACACTCCCTTCGTCTGCCGGCTCTGCTGCAAGCCGAGGTAGCTCCAGGCCCTCGCTGTTGGCTAAAGAGGGACGGAGTTGACGCCGCTCATTGCCTCCTCCTCTCTCATCTCTCGCATGCCATCAAGGAGCAGATCCACGACGTTGCCGCCACCTCACATGCCCTTCGTCGCCGTCACCTCACACGCCCTTCATCATCGTCTGTCGTCGCCTCCTGTGCACGAGCCCGCCTCATGCGAGCACGGATCCGCCGTGCGTCATTGCCTTGTGCGCCCGTCACCATCGATGTTCGTCGTCGCCTCACACCACAGTAAAGGGAGAGTAACATCGACGCCTCACACCACAGTAAAGGGAGAGGGCGCTGAAAGGAGCTTGGGGTAGTTGTAGAGGAGGAAGAGTAACATCGACACACCACAGTAAAGGGAGAGGGCGCTGAAAGGAGCTTGGGGGTAGTTGTAGATGAGGAAGAGTAACATCGACGCCTCACACCTAAAGGGAGAGGGCGCTGAAATGAGCTTGGGGTAGTTGTAGAGGAGGAAGAATAAAGAGTAAACATGGCTAGGAAAAAGGGGAGAAAGAGGAGGAGGAAGAAGAAGAGGCAGTAGAGGCTGACATATGAGTCCCACCTGTCACTGACTCATAATAGAGAGTGTAGATGGAGAGTATGTTGAAGTAAAGTGTTTGAAGAGGCTGATTTGGGTATTATGTTGGAGATGCTCTTAAAACCAGTGTAATTTGATTCCCTCAGCGGTTTTAGAGGATGGTTTCACTGACGTGACACGTAGACCTGATCTATACTGTGGAGTCATCCTGTGGAGCCCACACACCATTCTCCCATTCCTTTCCTTCTTCCTCTTCCTCTTCCTCTCTCCTTCCTCTTCCTCATTCGGCTTCTCCACAGTGGGCTGTGGGATGATTACTCCGCTGCCCGTGAGGAGATGGCACAGCCCTAGTCATTTCTTTTTTAATAATAGAATATAATACCGGCATTTGCTTAACAAGTTATAACCAATTATTACACAAATTTGCTCAAAAGAGTACCACAAATGCACACAAAAAATCTTGTCATCTTGGGCACCACCGCACCAGCAAATTATGAATACATATCGAGGAGGCTTTCGATTATTTGGCCGAACTCACCTATCATTTTCTTGTTTCTGGAATCAAACACAACCCGGCGACCTTGAACACTTTATGCTCTTAAAACACAACTGTTCCATTGCAATCATACAAATCGCATTATTACTGTAAAAGTGATAACAAATCACGAGATGTTCTTGACCATCATCAGTGAGATCTGATGTATATCACTACTCTACACAACAGCTAAAGATCAATAACAACAAAGTGGTATTTTAGCTGGAGTTTGAGAAAAGAGAGTGGCCCTTCATGCACTTCTCAAGCTCTCATAGCTGTTCTGGTCCTGAACTCCGCCGTATTACTTCTGATCATCTCTGTCATTTGGGCATACATTACAATTTTGAAACTGCACTTTAGTATCCCATCAAAACTGAAAAAAAAAAGATGATCTAAGAGCTGCAAATATGTATGTTTAGAACAATGAAGAATAAACTGATTTTACATTTTCTGATTGCTTTACTCGGCCATCACATGGATCTTGGGCTCAGCAATATTTATGAATAATGATGTTGTGGTAGGTGTATCATCCAAGAACATGAACATATCACTTGTTTCTATATCATGCTGCTGCAGTGTCCCTATTAGAAATCTAATCAAGCATCTCTGAATTCCATCAAATTACAACTACAATTGTGACATAAGATAGTGCCGATGATAGATCACATTTTATTCAACGCCATGTCAAATAAATACAAAGTCAACGTGTCACATTAGCCGAAACCACCATCCAAAATCATCTTGAGACTATAGTTGCACTCGTTTTGGAAAATGAGGGATGTGTTGGTACTGGTTTTAGGTTTGAGTGACGCGATCCAAACTCGAGCATTACATGAGTGACTTAAATTGAACTTTTTCCGCGTGAGAACTAGCAAGTGGGCTGGGCCGTGTCCACCGTGCCGCTAGCGGGCCGGTCCGCAGAAGACAAAACACCGGGCCATGTCGACACGGCCTACTTTGTCAGTTCCATCAGACACAAAGCCACAACAAAAGTCTAAACCTCTAGCTACCCAAACCAAACCCTAATTTCTCTTCTCAAAAAAAAAAAAAAAATCCAGCGGCGGCGGCGGCGCACATGGATCAGATGGCGGAGCGGCAGCACAAGAAGCGGAAGCCGGAGAAGATGGCCGGCGCGCGCACCAGCGGCCATGATAAGGAGGAGGAGAAGAAGGTGAAGGCTCCTTCTGTGTACCTGGTGGTAGGCCATGAGGTGAGCTGGGCAACCTACTCCGTGTTCAAGGTGGATCCCTACGCGGCGGCGAAGAGAGGCGGCGGCGGCGGCGACGAGGAGGATCCCGCTCCGGTGCCTATCCCTCGCCGGCTCGCCCGCATCAGCGCCAAGTTCTGCATGTCTTTCGCCCCCGTGCCCGTGCGCTCATGGATCGTCGGCGTCGGGGGCGATTCAGCGGATGAGGACTACGCCCCGGAGACCATCGTCTTCGACACCGAGACTCGCGCCGTGATCCGGGGGCCCAACCTCCTGTCGACCAAGCTCCACCCGGTTGTGCTCACCATCGGCCACAAGATCTACGCCCTGGCACGGTATCCCTCCGTCACGGGGCAACTCGACTTCGTTCCATGGTTCGAGGTGCTTGATCTCTCCCAAGCGCGCGTGGTCGATGGCCATCTAGAGAGCTGCGAGTGGAAGCCCCTGCCACGGCCTCCCTTCTTCCCATGGGACCTCACCCCATTGCAGTACCTTTCTCCGCCAATGGTTACTGTCGAGTCCTACGTTGCACTGGCCTCCTGCATTCTGGTGTCATTATCTCAGCAGGAGGGCACGCACATGTTTGATGTCGACAAGGAGCAATGGTCGAAACTGGATGACAACAGCCTGCCATTCGTCAGAGGCGCCGTTCCACACGGACCCATCTTCCTTGGCTTATCGAGAGCCAAGAAAATCATCACCGCATACAATATCACAGTGGTCTGCCAACCAAGGTCAGGCGGCACAGCGCCGTCCTTATCAATTGTTGAGTTCCCTGTGGTGTCTGACATGGAAGAGGAGATCTTAAGCACACCAATATTTCTTTCTCTCGGTAGCCCTGGCTTCTGTTCTTTGAAAAGTTGGAGCGACCACCCAACGACGGATGATCCATGTACTCGTGCACGTATCAAATTGATGGCATACCATACAGAGGAACCCATATCACAAGAGTACATCGAGTCTTCTCATGGCTTATTGATACCGAACCAGTGGAAACAGGTGTACGAGATATGTGATTCGTCCAGGGAATTGATTTGGCAATGCCTGATCACTGCAATGTCCTTATGAGTAAGCCCCTTTGTCACATCTAGTCCCTGGAGTCAATGGATTGTGGATTTCATTTGATTTCTTGCACTGCCTGTTTATTTACAACTGCAACCATAAAGCATCTATAAGATGACATTACTGCTAATCATGGATTAACACCTTAGCACGGTACTGCTACAATGTATGTCAGGATTGTTGGTTCGGGGTGTGTATGTTTGACATTGCTATGCCTGTTATTGATTTGCGATAGTGACCACATAGACCTTGTCTTCATAATACTGAAGATAAATATCAATACTGGCTTTAGTTTATATAAGACGACATAAATTGCCCAGAGCTGTCTTTTTTTTTTTTTGATTTTTAGTTTTTTTAGGAAGCTTCTCATATGTTAGTTCTGTAAAGGTACTCGATTTAAGATTTGTATCTACAAAAAGCAACAATCTACAACAGCAACAGTATATTTGTTTGCTGTTAATTAGTTTGAGAAATATATTAACATTGCTCAATCCTGAGCTCAAAAGGTAAAAGCCTACTAATCCTCCCTAATCTTGCCGCTCTTTATACATGTTAACCATTGGCGTCTTTATTCTTATATCTCGTGTTGTTTCATGGCTTTGAGCTTGGGCCCATTAATGTGAATGGTGAGGCAGCAGAGTTATCATTGACCATCCTTCATTTCTAGGTCATAACCTTTTCTAGACTACATAAGCGACAATTTTTGTTGTAAACTTGTGATGGCTTTTCATGGTTTTGATTTACACATCAGCTGTTTACTACTAGAGTGATTTTAGTTGCACTCTTAAAATATTTCAGATGGAAAAAGAAAACAGATATTATAGAAGAAGCTGGGGGTGATCTATCACTCTGCAAGATTGTATGTTGCTAGCTGTATGTAGATATATGTTGTTTTCAATTTTCTTTGCACGATGATGGTGGTTATAGATTGATCTCTTTACTCGTGTACATGATTGTTAGATCAGAGGACGAATATCTCTTTTTCCATTTTTAACTTAATCTTGTAGCTTACTTAGTAAGCACCCATCTCCTGGAGCCGGTGCAACACTATAAAATTCAACCACATACCACAAACAATTGCTATATGTCTACAAATATTTTTCCTGGATTGGGAGAACACTGCAAATAATATAACTAGAATTCGGCAAAAGGATCATTGGTGCTGAAGCTCCTATTTTGTTCTATGGTTGCTACAACCATGCATTGATTTTTTATCTCTTTCTTTGGAGATTATAAGGCATGTGTAGAAAGCTTTGGTTGCATGCTTTTATTACCAGCTTTGTGTGGCTACTGGGCTAGTGGCTATATTCATAAATAGGAAAGCACATTAGCTCCAGGATGTGATGACTGATGAGAGCACATATGGTGATTGGGGAATGCAGTAAGGTCGTAAATTCTGGCAATAAACTTGTTATGACTTACCTTGCTTCCTATGGTGGATATTAGCTCCAGCAGTAATATGCCTTTAAGTTGAAAATAGCATTCGTTTTAGTTTGATGTTGTCACATGCATACCTGCTTTTTTGTACTGTATCATAAAACTGAAAAAAAGTATTCCAGTAAGCCCATAATTCAATCAGTCAATAATATATTTACCTCATGAAATGTACTGTTTGTATTGAAGCTGCTTGTATTAGCTGTAGTATGTTATACATGTTGCCTATTTATGCAGTTAATCGTTTGGAACCCACTCATTAAGTATGCCGTCTTTTTTGGAAGTACTTTGTTCAATGTGCAGGGAAAATGTTGTGAGAGCTTTGTTGATTGAACAACTGTCATTATTATGCTATTTCGTCTATAGAAACATGTTTTTTGGGCATTTCACTATTAGTTCATCGGTTAAAAAAACTCATACAACATTATTGGGCAAGCATATGCTTCCTATAATCTTTATCAGATTGCCAATATCATTGTTTGTTCTGTTGTGGCCTTCCCTGAATCTGGTATGTTGGGTAATTACAGGTGTATAATCTTACGAACACTACAAAGTAATGTGAGTTTGTTTGTGTTAATCACATTCCACATGTATACTGCCTTAATCTAGCTCATTTTTTGGGTTTAACCGTTTATTGGTAGCAGTTTTAATATTTACTCTATTTTACATATAATTCTCAATATTTTATGGTTCCACAGGTATATTCCATGATGTTGGAGCCACCAGAAGTTTATTGTAGAGGCTGGCTTAAGAAAACGGTTTACTTGTAGCACCCTACAATTCCAGTAAATTCTTCAGAGTACAACAGCTTTGCATGGCTTCGAACTTAGGGAGTAGTGCTGCAGGGCATCTTTTGCTTGTGTATTAAGTGGATTTAGAATATGATATTTGAGGAGAAATGATCCCCTGTAGTATCTATGCTGGACTGATCTAATTGAACCTGTCTAAAAGAGTTTCATGTATGAAACAGCTGTACGTATATGTGATGTGACGTTTAATCATTCGTTTAACTAAAAAAATTATATAAATATTATTTACTAGCAAAATATGCCCGTGCGTTGCACGGGTGAATATCAAACAAATATGGTCCTTGTGTACTTATAACACGTGCAAAAAGATATTGAATTTGTACATATTCAAATTTTATACAAGAAAATATCAAAACATCTCATACTGTATACACATTCAGATTCAGGTTGTATCTCAAATTTTATAGTACATGCATGAGATATTCTAAGTTTTCTACACATTCAGAACATACTCCAACTTTCACAAATGTTCACAAGAGGGTGTAGTTACAGCTCTGACTTCACCATCCTCTACAAAAGGAAAAAGGTAAAATGCATCTGCAATAGGAAAGAAACATGCACTTTGTAGTATCATAATAAATTCACTCAAAAAACTTTAGTGGAATATGTTCGGATTATAGAAATAATTTAATATTTAAGAAAGTAATAATTATCTTGACATAAAACCATATTAACGCTTATCAAATACAATATAACATAATTAATAATTTCTAGATAATTTTTTAGTTTGGTTCATTTATCTAAAAATAATTTACTGAGTGATCAAATAATCGATCATAATTTCGTAGCAATTTTAAATGGCTTAAAATAGTGCCAAACAAATTTCTGTAAATCTAAAAATAATTAAATCAATTCCTTAGAAAAATACTGGATTTTCGCTTAAAAGGCTCGAACCGGCCTAGCACTGTGCGGCGCGTGCTAGTGCACAGCGACCCAGCCGATAGGCGCGATCGCGGCCCAGCGAGCAGCGCAGGCGGGCCGTTAATTTCTGTGGCCCAAAGCGGGAGAGAGGATGGCCGTCCGATCCAATGGACGTCCAAGATTGCAGCCGCTCCAGTGAAATTGCCGTCGGATGAGAGGGGAAACCCTAGCCCACGTTCTTCTCGTCTTCTCAATCCCCTATTCCCCTTTCTCCCATGAGCGAGCGAGAGAGAGAGGAAACGACGATGGTGGTCCAGCAAGTGAGAAGAGGAGTATAGGGTATTAAGTAGACTTTTGCATTTGCGGGCTGAAGAAAAAAAATAGGCTGAAAAAGGCCCATAGAGAAAAAATAATTTTTATTTAAATAAATGCTGAAATGATATTTGTATTATCAAAATTACCAATTAAGCTATGTAAATTCTAAAAAAATTGCAAAGAGTGTAATTAATATAGAAAATTTAATAAAAACTAAATCCAACCATAATATTTTATTTCTCACACTTACTTTACTTGAAAATTAATTTAATTATATACCTACCTCCTTAAAAATACCCTAATATTCTAGAAAATGTGTATTTCATTTAATTAGAATTTAACTAGCAAAATGCCCGTGCTTCGCTACGGGTATAATAAAAGGTTAAATGCTATAAATACACAATTAACATGTATATAATAATGTTCCAAAATAGATAAATTATTCAGTGGGTTAATGATAATCAGGACTGATAAGAAACACTATTGCATATTGATATACTCATATTTTCATAACATGCACTCTCTCTCAACTCTTGCATGGCAAGCGCCTAATATAATTATTTCTAAAATCGAACATGGACTTGCGTGGAGATGAATCATTTTCACGGCTCATGCGTGGACGATAGATGGTGCGGACTCTAATATGTCGTGTTTTGCAGATGACGAAAAGAAAAAAAATATGTTTAATTTTCAAATTAAAAAATGGTTCATTATAAGATTTCAGAATCACTAAATATCTGTTGAAGAAAGAGGTGCAAAAACTTCTGATTTTTTAGCCATCGGATTCATGGCAAGCGCTTGATATAATTTCTAAAATCGAACACGGACTTGCGTGGACACGAATCATTTTCATGGCTCATGCGTGGACGATAGATAGTGCGGACTCTAATATGTCGTGTTTTGTAGATGATGAAAAGAAAAAAAATAATTATGTTTAATTTTCAAATTAAAATCTGGTTCATTATAAGATTTATCACTATCTGTTGAAGAAAGAGGTGCAAATAGATGGCGCGGACTCTAGTATGTCATGTTTTGCAGATGATGAAAAGAAAAATATAATTATGTTTAATTTTCAAATTTAAAAGTGGGAGGGAAAGTAGACTTATTCTGAGTAGGATTTGAGCTGTGGGAGGCAAAGTAGACTTATTCCGAGCAATGATTTGAGATATGGGAGGCATAGTAGACTTATTCCGAGCAATACAACCTAGGAAAGGTGAAGTAATGAGATGTGGGAGGCAAAGTAGACTTATTCCGAGCAATGATTTGAGATATGGGAGGCACAGTAGACTTATTCCGAGCAATATAGCCGTATATAAAAAGGATGGATGATGGGAATCGAACCCTGGTGGGCAGGTTGAAAATTTTCTCCACCAACCAGGTGGGCAAGCTACTACTTGTGATTGATGGTTACATTACTGATACATATCATATATTAAGCAAGGTTTTGGAGTAGATTAGAAAACTTCCGACCGACTATTAAGCGGATTAAAACGTATTTTGGCAAGAGGGAGACGGACGAAAAGAAGAACCGGAAGTCTTACGTATTTTTTTATTATTAGGTATATATATATATATGTTTTAATTCAATTTTCTCTTTTTATTTTCTTTTCATTGCAACGCATTGTCACTTTTGCTAAAATTTTAAAATGTATAATTAATATTGTAGAAATTTTGTATTTCATTAAATTAGAATTTAATATGTTTTAATTTAATTTTCTCGTTTTTTTTCTTTCCGTTGCAACGCACATACAATTTTGCTAATTTATATAACGTTACGTGAAAAAAAAAACCGCCTGGAGGCAGTATATTTGCTATGTTTGACTTCTATAAAATCCTTTGGTTTGACTTCTATAAAATCCTTTGGTTCGTCCGTTCCAAGAAAAGCCATACAGGAAAATAAACAGAAACTATTTGCCATTACTAAACAAGGAATAATTAACTATCTGTCAATCTTACAAGTAGTGAAAAAGAATGTCTCATACTCCATCCGTTCCGCAACAACTCAACCTAGGAAGAAAGGGATTTGCCCCTTTAGGACAGAGGGAGTATGGTATAGACACATGAAGACAGACCACAAAGCATGCAGAGACTTCCAAAACATGAAAAAAACAATAGCACGGATATTTGAGCAAACACCACCAATACGTGCACACATTTTCGGTCATACTCAACTAAACGTGATTAGCACGAAGCTGTCACGAACTGAGATAAACCACATATTCCGAACACATCGAGCAAACTACACCTGTGCTGTGCGGCTGTTCTGAACACATATTGTCAGGCAAGTTCAACCAAAACGTGATTCCGCACAAAGCTACCACGAGTTCAAACAAATAAAAACATTAACAGATGTCTGCACAGATTTTCAGGCATGCTCAACAAAAATGCTATTCAGCCAATCCAAGTTGTCATGAATAGCAGATGTATGAGAAAATCAATCGGTCCTACTCCCAGCGGATGTATAGCCAACCCCAGTTTCTCCATCAAATCAACCACATTGTGTTCCAATGAAAATCCAGCCCGCCCTCTTTGTGTGTGAGGTAACATCATTTTAACTTCCTGAACCAAACAAGGAAAGGATAATTCAGAGATTGGCATTTGCGGGATAGAAAGCAATAGAACTGTTGATATCATCAAATATTTAATACCAGAAACGGAAGTGTAAAGACAAAACTTACTTTCTTGACTTCATGTATGGTTCCAAACTTTTTTGAATGGCACGCAAGTACGTTGGGTAGCGGGAAGTTAAAATATAATCTGTCCATGACAAACGAAAGGGGGTGATACCATCCTGCAGAGAGTAGATATAATTAGAATAGGAAGATATTATAACACATAAAAGAGTATCAAATTCTATCCTTTTACCTTTAATGCCTTTTCAGGTATATGAACATCGGAATTCCTCATAAAATCAAACTGTAAGATACCATTTTTAGATGGTTTTCTCTTATCCGTTCCAACCTTGTTAACTTTCAAAGCCACTTTTTTTGAATCCAAATTAGCAACGAGCTTTAGATACTCATTGTCTTCCGTTCTGTTCATCCAGCAGTCCAAATACGGGATGTGCTTAAATAAACTATCACGATCATCTTCGCTAATAGCTGGACTAATATTGGTTTTATATTCAGTGTGCAAATTGACCAATAATCCTTTCTTCTCTTTAGCTGACATTAATGAGCTGCTGTCTATCACTGATTCAAGTCTCTTCAAAGGATTTTCCTTTAAATCATGTAGATCACCTTGCAGATCAGCCGGTATCATTTCCCCAACAAAACAACTTTTAACCAACTCAACAACCTGCAGCACATTATTTATTGCTTCATCCTCCTCATATGCAATCACTTCAAGTTGAAAGAACTTGACATCAGATCCTTTTAAAAGAATTTTCCTCCTTCTCAGAAGGTCTGTTCCCATCCTCAAACATTTCCCCAAAGAGAACAAGTTAACAAGGTGTGACAGCATGGAACGAATAATTGCCTTAGCAATATTTCGAACAAAATTACATTCCTCATCATTCCTTGACCCAACAATATGCTTTATCTTCAGAAAAGAATTCCTCTCGAGAAATTCTTCCAAAGTCAAACAGAAACCTTCAAAATGTGATAAATCCAAGCCATTCTCCAAAAAAAATAAATAGTTCTGATTATTCAAAGCAACTGAGTGGAGAGTGCAGCATCCAAGTTTATCATTTGGCACACAGTAATATATATCTGGGGATAATTTCAACTCATTTCTTGTCTGAAAATACAATTCCATATATTGTTAGTTTATATTAAGAATAAAAAATAAATGCCATAAATGCAACTAACATCAATGCTTTAATGCCAAAACAAAATATAACGATAAAGAAACAGGATATACCTATTTTATGAATAACCGTGTTTAAATTTGTGTTCAAGACGAAAAAAAAATTAAATGTATATTATAATTTGTATTGCTAGTATTATTCAGATATCCTACAAAAGGACTTAAATTTTCTCTAAATTCAGAGAATCTCCATGGTGCAGATGCATGATAGACCACAATTTATCGCTAAATTGTTTTTATGTTAACTATTGCTGTGTCAATGCACTTATCGTACTGGGAAATATAAATAGAAGTGCAACTATGCACTGCCACCAATGATCAGGTAAAGTATTGTGACCATAGGACTAGGAATTGAAATGTGCAATCCAAACAGGTGATTCAGAATACTCCTTAACTCTCTAACAAATGAGATAGAAGCCACGATTGAACAGAAATAAGATACAGTGGACTGGCACATATTGGTTGTTACTGCATTCTATATCCTATCCTAATTCCTACATTCCTATACAAGTATAACCTATGTAGGAAATTATGGCCATAAAGCAGCCTTCTGATGCAGCCACATCAACCGTTCGATAATAAGTTCAGCATCTGTATACGCACATAAATTAGGCCCATATTTACGGCTAGGCCCAGCCAGCAGACTCCACACTCTACTACCCCCGTCAACTACACTCATGTGACTCGACTCACAACCATTTCTTTTCCTTCACTAAGTGCAATTGTAAAATAGAAACTGACACCATCCATGGTTAATCCCATTTATCCTCTCTGCCTCTCTATAAGATTCTTGTAATTCCTATGCTCAATTGATCATTAATGCGAGAAGTCATGGTTGAGTAGGCAAGCAGACAGTACCCATTGTTATTATCCTCTACTACTATCATCTATCCTTCCCTCCCTCAGTCTTGAGAAATTATCAGGTAAACTCAGTCCCTTACTGTCTGATTTTACAACAATAAACAATTTATAGTTTTTACAACAATATGTTGACATGTCAATCCACTACGCCATGCTAGGTACCATCCATTTTTAAGTACCGGGACAATCATTCATTTAATGCATAAGAAATTAACAGTTACCTGACTTTGAAGACCATCCAGAGCTTGATCACAGTCTGAGCCAACAAAAGCACCGTGGACATCTAAAAGCTTGAGGCAAAAATTTAGCCCAACCTAAAAGCAGTTCACATGTTCTAAGTTTAGGAATGGACCACACATGCTTTATGTTTAGGGATGAATCAATAAACTAATCAAGATCAGGAATGGACGAGAAGTTTATACCTCATCAAGAACCAGTGAATTTTCACTCTCGCCTGCAGGGATACTAGTGATCTGGGTAATACAAAAAAAAAATCTCAGGACAAGATTATACATGAATTATGAAATTTATTGAAAATAACCAGCAACTTCTTAACAAATAAGTTAGTTGAATACCTTGAAAATCCTGAAGTAAACAGAATCTCTACTCTTTGTGAAGACATATAGATCTGAAGCTGCACGCTCATCTTCTTGAACTGGAGAAAACATCTGTTTAACAATATCAGATATGGCATTTATATACACGCTAAAAACTGAACCAAAAAATTGAATAAAATGAGTTCTTACCATCATTAGCATCTCCTTCACAAGAGCCCAAGTTTCATCTTCAACAAAATTGGATGAAAATGAAAGTAAAGGATTTGTTACTTTCACTTCCATACTTTCATCTAGGAATGCTGCAAGAAATTTTAATTGTTATCAATATCATCATGTAGAAATCATCATAGTTATCAATATTATAATTAATTACTGTTGCCAATCGGATTATATAAGTGTATCTGGGTTTTATGCAGTGGCAGATCCAGAAAATTGGTTTTATCCAAATCTGCCCTGGTTTCATGAAACATTTTGTAACAAAATCTACCGTTCTTTGAAACAAATTATAAAACCTAGGATTTTGCGTTAAGAAAACCCCAAAACAAGGGTTTTGAAAATTTTACTCTTATTTAAAATTGTAAAAAACATTGAAATTACCTGGATTTATAAGAAACGATATGTGAATCTCTTTCAATGTATTGAACATATGACAAATCATCATCTGATCACCTTCTGCCCACTGACATAAGGAAAAAAAAAGATTACCTTAAATGAATGAAAATAATGTTATGCGTGTAAAAAAAAAGCAGATTATTCATTATACCTCAAAGAAGAGACAAAAGTTGCATCTGCTCCATTTAAGAAACACATTGATTTTGTCCGAAGGACAAGCATATGCCTTTCCTTGACCATCATAAGGAAGCAGAAATGAGATGTTTCTCAAGAGAGTCCCATACCTATTAACAAATATCATTTTAGATATCAACTAAAATTGCATTTCATACATATATATTTGTGTGTATGTGTTCCGAAAGAATTTACCGCCGAATGAGGTTAGGCGTATAAGCAATAACCACATTTGAGGCACGGGGTCTATTATTTGAATTCTTATTTTCCTGCAATGAAGTACAGAAAAGTTCAGAGAAATGTGCCAACAAAGTCTGCAATGAAGTACTGCAATGAATTCAAATACAGAAAAGTTCGAGGTAGTAGTATAATCCTTGCTGCTGCAGTCAATAAAGTCTTTTCCTTAGGGAATCAGTTTCCTTAGGGAGTCAAGTCTTAGACTACAAGTCATAGGGTCAAGTCATCCCTTAGCCAGCAGGTTGCCTCCCACAATCCTTGCGCCTGCAGGATAACACGCATCACCATGTACCACTCAGTGTAGTTGGTCCTTGTCAACGTGGGGTAGACGACAGAACCTGAGCTCCACTTGATCAGGCGATCGACGATGACCTCCCTTACTCCGGCGCACGTGGCAAGGTAGGGGCAAGACGGAGAGCCACCGGTTGCATAGGTCTTCAGCTCTTATGGGGAGTGACATCATGCCAGGGGTGTAGCCTCACCCTTATACCACTTGTTAGCTGCAACAGAGGATGTAGCAAACACGTGCGAGAGAGAGAAGAATCGACAAAACGATGAGCACACGTGTTTTGGTGCTTTCGTATAAAACTTGCAGCGTTTTCTGCATTCTTTCCTTCTTTTTTTTTTCCTTTCTTGCAAAACAGAGAATGTGGACGCTATGTGTACGATCCCGTAGCGGCGCTCCCGTTCGCGCACGTCGAACCCAACGGCGCACGACCAATTCATTCACGCGCCCAAGTTTATTCCTAACAATAGAACCCTAGATCCCTAAATTTATCCATGTCCAATCTGAGTTTTCTGAATATTATGTGAGAAGTCTGAATATGTGCATCCATTTCGAGCTCGGGCCGTGACAGGAATTACCTCCTCAAGCTTGCGTCTGAAGGCACGAGCTCTTCTACCTCGACCATGTCGCAGCCTCCTGCCCCCACCGCCACCAGATCTGCTGCCGGAGACCGACGAGCCCATGGCGTCCTTCCTCCTCCTCTTGGCCTCGACTCCCCCACCCCCGGCTGGCGATGGGGCCCTTCGCTTGTTCGCAGCGCGTGTGGCATCCGCCTTGGCCTCTCCGACCCGGCCGCCCGGATCGCCCCCGCCGCCGCCGTCCATGTCGGCGCCCCGCCCCGCCGTTGTTTTTTTTTTGTCTTGTTTAATCTGCTGAGCAGAGAGGGCGTGGTGACGTGGTGTGAAGTGTGTGATACTACGAGAATATCCCCTTCATCCTCGTCTGGATGGGCCAGTATGGGCCGATGCTTCATTTTCTATGGGCTTGTGACGTCCGTCTCAAAATATCTTGGCACTGGGCTTGTTTTAAAAAGAGAAATAAGTTCACTTTTTTTTTGCGGGGAGAAAAATAAGTTCACTTAAGGTCCCTTAATTTGTTGCTCAGTCTGATTTTCGTCCTCAGTTCATAAAACCGGATACAACACATCCCCAACTTACCAAAACCGTGCAGACGAGGTCCCTCGGCAGTATTGTGCCCGGTTTTGGATGATGTGGCACCTACGTGGTTGGTTTGACTAGGTTCTCGTCCCATGTGGCATTGACGTGGCGCTTACGTGGCAATTGGATCTTAAAAAAATAATAAAAAACTATGGAACCCACCTGTCAATTACACACAAAATAATAAAAAGGGTGGGGCCATGTTGCAGAGGTCGCCTCCAGCAGCGGGCTGGGGCGAAGCGAGTTGCGGCGGTGTGAACTCCTGCTCCCACCGCAGCTCCCCGACCTCCCGCGGCTGCTGTGGCGTCGGCGATAACAAGGAGGAGGCAAACCGTCAGTTAGTAGCACACCCCGAGAGTTCAATCTAAGGGGTCGTGGCGCGGAGAAGGGCACATTGATGCAGCACGCATTAACTTGGAGAGGCGGTAGGACACGCTGGAGGAGGAATCGGGGCCAGAGGCGAAGGAGGAGGAGACGTGGAGGGCGATGGCGACCAGCGCGGCGACGGCGGTGATGGTGGTGCCCGTCGCGGCGAGCGAGAGCAGCCACCACCGCATCGCCGCCCGCTGCCTCGTTGCAGTGGCATCGCATCCGCCTTGTCATGGCTACCACACGGGAGGGAGGGAGGGAGATGGATCCAAGCACGAGGGGTGGTCCTCCGATGAAGATGTTGGCAGCGAGGATGAACGGGAAGATGCGGTGCATGAAAACCCCCTTCTTCGCCGACGCCGCCTCTGGCGGCGACGCGGGGTCGGGCACGACGACGGGCATCGCGACGGGTGCGGATGGGTCGCGGTCGAAGGACGGAGGCGAGGCGACTGCTTCTGTGAGCCTGAAATCCATCCACCCCCCCTCCCCCGGTGCCACCACGCCGCCGGTCTCCTCCAAGAAGACGCCTGCGGCTGCCGCCGCGCCGACCATCCCCACCGCAACGCCCACCACCCCGCCGACGACCTCCTTTCCCCAGTCAAGGCTTGCCTCCTTGCCCCATCGCTGAGTCCCTCACCCCCGACGCGGCGCACGCCAAGCCGCCGCCGCCGGAGCTCGGACTGCCCGCCTCGCTCACCTGCTCTGCTGCCCACCCGCTCTGCTGCCCACCCGCTCGTTTGCTGCTCAGAAAGAAGAAGAAGAAGAAGAAGAGAGAGAGAGAGGGAAGAAGGAAGAGGAGAGGATTGAGGATGAAGAAGAGAGAGAAGGGAAAGGAAAGAAGGAAGTGAGGCTGACATGTGGGGCCACGTGGGCCCCACCATTTTTAAAATACTTTCTGTGAGTAGCTGACATGTGGGGCCATGGTTTTTATTATCTTTCTGCAATATAATTGCCACATAAGTGCCACGTCAATGCCACGTGGAATGGAGACCTAGTCAAACCAGCCATGTAGGCGCCACGTCAGCCAAAACCGCCTTCAAAACCGCTGAGGGACCTCATTTGCACCGGTTTTAATAGTTCAGGGACCGGTTGTATCTGGTTTTTGGGTTCTAGGACGAAATCGGATTTGGTGTACTCAAATGAACTTATTCCTTTAGGCCCCCTTTGAATTGGAGGAAAAATGGAGGAAAAACAAAGGAATTGAAATCCTACACTATTCATGCCTTTGATTTGTAGGAATGTGAAAAGGTAAAACGTAGGAAACTTTCCTATTCCTACAATTCTAGAGTAAAAACATAGGAAATTTAACATCTACTCTGACCTATTGGAAAATTTCCTTTGAGGCCCCCTTTGATTCAAAGAAAATTCATAGGAATTTTAGAGGATTTTATTCCTATAGGAATTTTTCCTACAAAGCCCTTTGAATCAAATGAATGAACCCTATTGAATCTTATGAAATTCCTATGGAATGCCTCTTCCCATACAAGTTTTGGAGGAATTTTAACATGAGGTAGAACCTCATGGAAGAAATCCTTTGAGTCTTTATCTCTCCTCAAATTCCTGTGTTTTTCCTATGGTCCAATCAAACGGTCATTCCTATGTTTTTCCTGTGTTTTGCAATCCTCTGTTTTACACTTACATTCCTGTCATAATCATATGTTTTTCCTATTCCTCCGTTTTTTCATTCCTATGATTCAAAGGGGCCCTAAGTCTATCTCTCTCATCTGATTCCTGTGTTTTTCCTGTGGTCCAATTAAACGGTCATTCCTATGTTTTTCCTGTGTTTTGCAATCCTCTGTTTTACACTTGCATTCCTATCAGATTCCTGTGTTTTTCCTATTCCTCCGTTTTTTCAATCCTGCGATTCAAATGGGCCCTTAAAAGGAGAACTTGGCACTAAGGCTAAAGTTGAAAAAAGTACATGCGACCCTCGTCTTTCACCGAATTACAAAATCATTCCTAAACCAAAAAACCAATGTATGACATTCCTCAACTTATAATGTGGCTTTGTTTTTGTTTTGTTCGACGTGGGTCAATGTGGGACCCACGTGGGTCCCATAGGCATATGGGTCTCCATCTTATTTGCGAGGGCCGACGGGAAGGAAATCCGGTGCGGCGGACGGACGACGGGGGAGGAGCACTGCCGGCGATAGGCGGGGAGAACCGGAGGCTTCGTGGGCAATATCGCCTTCGACGCCTCCGATGACGAGCTCTATGATGCCTGCGAACTCATCGGCCCCGTCCATTCCCTCTGCCTCGCCGCCGACCTAGCCACCAACAAGTGTAGGCGACGAAGAGATGGCCCGCAATGCCTGCCGCAACCTCCACGGCTACCTCCTGCGCGGCCTCCTTCAGCCGGGCCACGAGCTCCGTGTTGACCTCTCCGACCGCCCCAGCAGCAGGCGCCGCAGCCACCGCGAGCCCGTCAGCATGGAGGACGCCGTCCACGCCGCGTCCCTCGGCATGGAGTACTTTTGATATAGTAATTTGATATAGTAATTTTCTTTGCATTGCACTATGCAACAAACATGCTCGGCTCGAAGCAAACATTTTGATATAGTAATATGCATGCAGTACTTCATCTCCATAAAGCCCCTGAAAGATCCCACCACTAACAGCATGCATGTCCTATATATAGATCAGGTTTGTGGCGATGCTATCCTTCCACATATATATTTTTTTGAAAACAAGGGAAGCTTATTATAGATTTTTTTACACCAACTTTATTAAAAATTAAAGACAAGGTTCAAGGGAATTAGATCCCCGGTACATCGCTAGGAGCAAAATAACATATAGAACAAGGCCACCCCTTTGACATATAAGGGTAACCTGAATTACGGAAACAACTCTGCGGCCGAAACAATACAACAGTAAAGGATGAAATAGACAAGGGCAACGGCGTTGTCGCAACGATTACATTCAAAAGCCTCTACTACAGTCTACAGTGACGTGCACACCACTTGACAAATCAGCATCCCCTTCGGCTGTCTTCATGGGAACACATATAATTCGAGGTTTTTAGCTGATTCGTAGATTTTGGATAGGCTTCACCGGACTCCACAAACGATTATTGTGGACTCCACAAACAATATCTGAGGAGCGCTAATTGCAAACCCAACGACAAATGCCACATTGACAAACTATACTCAACTCGAACGAATAACCCGACACACATATATTTCCCCCGAAAAATAATGCTTACATGGAGTAATAGCAAACATGTGATATTTTGGAGGTTTATAATGTGCGTACACGCTCACCAACTAGAAATTGATAAGCTTATACTTTGCACTATATAGTATACCGCTATGTACTCTCTCCGTCCCATAAAAAACCAACCTAGTACTGAATGTGACATATTAGAGATTAACTTTTTTTTTTGGACGGAGGGAGTATATGGAGTATATCATTAGCTAATTCACTAGATGATGACATGCGCTTTGTTGCAGGATATATGTTAGATATTGGATAAATGATGAAATGATTTGGATTGAAATATTATGAAAATGATTTGAGAATGATGATTTAACATGTCTATGTTTAGTTTTAGAATAAAATAAATTGTAGACATGATTATTATATGCTTACATGTTAAGCTTCGTGTGTTTAATGGGTTGATGTGGCATGTCTGTTGGTAGATTTTAGAAGTGATAATAAATAGTATGCTTGCATATTAATATTTAGGTGTTTAATGGGCATTAGCTTTATAGAAAGAAGAGATTAGCCAGGCGTCCTGAAATTAATGTGAGCTCACTTAATAAGGGAAAAAATAAACAATTAGTGCCCTCTTGCAATAAGGTTGTTGTATTTGTTCCTACGAGAGAGAGAAGATATATATTCCCTCCATTTTAAAATGCATAAAATGTTTGACCATTTGTCTTATTAAAGAATATTATATAAATATCACTTATTTTATTGTGACTTTGTTTTGTCATCAAATAAAATATAATCTCAACTTACACTTTTACATATTTATATTAAATTTTTGAGTAAGTCAAATGGTCAAACATTATAAAAAGGTTAACGGCGTTATACATTTTGAAAAAGGAGGTAGTATCATTTTTCACGCGCAAGCTTCCCAAACCACTGAGCGGTTTGGTTAATTTCTATAAGTTTCACAGGAAATTGCTTTCAAAAAATCATATTAATCATTTTTTGAGTTTTAAATAATTAATACTTAATTAATCACACACTAATAGATCATCTCGTTTTACATATATATCTTCCCTATCTTCTTCTTTCCCTCCCTCTCAATAATCAATAAAAATGTTTTTATTTATTTTTACGATGATTTTCGTTGTAGCTTAGGAGTATATCAAAGTCAGCTAGCAAATCTAGCGCTTACCCAATCTAAGAGGAGCTCGTGAAGGATGGGAGAGAGCCAACCGTCTCATTTCAAAGTGCGTGAGAAATTTAGTCCAAGAGGTGTGGGAGCCTGCAGTTATGTAAAAATACTCTAAACAAACTAAATGTTTGGTTTCACATTAGTTTATTAATAATAAAGAAAGATAATACTTTTGTTTTTAACTGTCAAGGTGGTTCTATTTTGTTTAGACTTAGCCACGAGAGTCGGCCGGTGGATGATTGATTGATCATCTTTTTGGTGGTGAGGATGGTTTTTTATTTTTAAGATGAACCGATGACTTTAGATTAATGACCCAACTAAATCGCTGGCAACCAAACATTCCAACCAGGCGGACATTCAGCAGCAAAGGCATGAGCCACCTTATTACAGTCACGGGGGGCCATAGCTAACTGAAAAAGAGTAGTTCATATGTCACGAACAATCCAATTCTTTTGGCCGAAACAGATGTTGGTAACACTGCATCATCGAGGGTTTGGCCTTAACATTCACTACCAGAAAAGACGTTTTCCCAGGCGGTCAAAACACGTTTTGACAGACGGACAAACCTTCTGCCTGCATCTAAACGATGGTAAAAATCTCCTATTTTTACAGGCGGACTATGATTTTCACAGGCAACAGTTGGGATCTTTTCAGACGCTATAGTAGCCCCGCCTGCGAAAATACTCGCGGCACCATAAAAAACATTCCCGTCAGCCCCACCCCTCCCTAAGTTTCAAATCACAAATCTCATCCAGGAAACAAAATCCAATCACTAACATCCATACATCAACACAAAAGAATTGGATTCAAATCCACAGCATCAACTTGCAAGTTAACATCAATCAACATGTAAACTTATAAAAAAAATCATCTTCGCCGGCGAACTCCTTTGCATGCGGTGGCTGCCGCCGCCCCCCTCTCCCGTCAGGCCAGATCTGGGAGGGAGGGAGGTGTCCACCGCCGCCACCACCCTCCCTTCTCCTCGTAGGGGCCAGATCTGGGAGAGGGAGGGGAGGGGAGCCGCATCCGCGCCACCGCCGTCGCTCCCCCTCCTTCGGCCAGATCTAGGAGCGGGAGGGAGAGAGGGGGAGCTGCCGTCGCCCCTTCTGCGCCGCGGTCACCTCGTCCGCGCCGCCACCGTCGCTCCCCATCCTCCGGCCAGAGCTAGGAGCGGGGGGAGAGAGGGGGAGCCGCCGCCGCCATCGCCCCTTCTGCGCCGCCGCCGTTGCTCCCTCTTCTCCAGCCAGATCTAGGAGCGGGGAGAGAGAGAGAGGGGGAGCCGCCGCCGCTACCGTCGGCCCGTCCTCGCCACGTCACCGTCCGCGCGTTCGCGCCGCTGCCGTCGTCGTCGCTCCCCCTCCTCCAACGGGGAGGGAGAGACGGGGAGCCACCGCCGCCGCTCGGATTGGGAGGGAGGGAGGGGAGGGGAGGGGAGGAGAGTGAGCCGGTGGGGAGGGGTGGAGAGGAGAAGAGAAGTGTTGAGGGAGAGATAGAGAGTTGAGAGGAAAATCAGTGGTGGTCGGTGGGGAGTGGTGGTGGAGAAGATAAGGATGACTTAAGATTTATTTTAGGTAGGTATGATTTTTGCAGGCGGACCGCATAAGGTTCCGCATGCAAAAATCATTTTTTAAGGTGATTTTCGCAGGCGGACCTCTTCAGTGATCCGCCTGGAAAAATTGATTTTCCCAAGCGGATGACAAAAATCCACCTCGGTTTATATTTTCGTAGGCCAATATTTGACTCCGAGGGTCATATCCGTCTGGAAAAATAAAAGGACAACGTCGCTAAAAAAAAGTTTTTTAGTAGAGATTGCCAATCGAGATACTCCCTCCTTCCCAAATTTATCATCATATAATGAAATTTAAAATTTATCAAATTGATCATCATATAACCGTATAGACACGGATTTCATCAGAATACAATTAATACAGCATGACAGAATGTGTGCATGCTAATGTGTAATTGTTATGATGTTTTAATCGATGCATGCATTGTGGGAGAATGTGTGTACGGTGTCTTAATTGATGTGATTGAAATTATCCTTAATCTTGGTGTATAAACGTATATGATGATCAATTTGGGAAGGAGGGAGTAGTGTGTTATAATTTTCATTATTTCTTAGTTACAACAATGGATATAAAAATGTTGGTTGTAAATTTTTGTCTGCTCAATTGTAATTAATAGTTATTGTCATTGATATGGTTATACAGGGAATGGCATCAAACGCATATTAATATTCAATATATTTTATTTTCATCTTTGTAATGCATGGTATTTTTTAAGTAAAAAATAAAAATGAGAAACTTTTAATTCTACGATGATTTTTTTTCAAAAAAAAGGAAAAGAAAAAAAGAAGACTCAAAATGAGTCACCGCCCAGGACCTATGGAAGGCAAATCCTAGGCTAGAGATCAAAATTTGTGCGAAAAAACCTCTACAGCTTAATTACTTTTGGATATAGAGACAAATTTTGAAACATTTATCTGTCATCATTTTCATTTTCACATCAAAAAAAACTAGACAAAGACATTGGAAAAAAAACTATAGACAAAGAATTTTATTCATATAGTTTAACCGTCAAAAGCAAAATGATGGCACTTACGGTCTTGTCCGTCAAATCGCTGATGATTCTTAGGATTCAGGTCAGTAATTTCTTTATTAACGCCATATTTGAGGATATGCAAAAGAATGAATACTACCTCCGTTCCAAAATAAGTGCAGCCGTGAATATACGTATCCAACGTTTGACTATCCGTCTTATTTAAAAAATTTATGAGAAAATAAAAAAAAGTCACACATAAAGTATTGTTCATGTTTTATCATCTAATAACAACAAAAATGCTAATCATTAAAAAAAATCAATTAAGATGAACGGCCAAACGTTGAATACGAACAATGCAGAACTGCACTTATTTTGAGATGGAGGGAGTACGTTTCTCACTCTCTCTATATGTATGTAGTACTCCCTCCGTTTCAGGTTACAAGACGTTTTGACTTTAGTCAAAGTCAAACTGTTTTAAGTTTGATCAAAGTCTGTAGAAAAAAAATACTCCATCCGTTTTAGATTATAAGATGTTTTGACTTTGGTTAAAGTCAAATTGTTTTAAGTTTGACTAAGTTTATAGACAAATACAATAATATTTATAATAATAAATTAGTTTCATCAAATAAATTCTTGAATATATTTTCATAATAAATTTGTCATGGGTTAAAAATGTTACTACTTTTTCTACAAACTTCAAACTTAAAGCAATTTTTGACTTATAACCTGAAACAGAGAGAGTAGTAACATTTTCAACCCTATACAAATTTATTATTGCCAGGGTTACGGATAAGGTATACCCTTTACCCTTGGGTATATGTCATGCATCGATATGGTATATCTGCGCGTATATGGACGTTCTCTGTACACACTAAGGAAATTCACCACGGAATCCACATATGGAAAGATTCCTACTCGGATAGAACCGGGTCGTCATTGTATCATGCGGGTCCGATGTCTCCGAGTCCTACTTGGAGGTCAGTTGACCTGCAGTATAAAAAGGATCCCCGGGAAGACCTAAGACATCGAATCTTACTATCAACACACCTACCACAGCCTACGAGTCCGGAGTCTACAGAAGCCAAGTCGCCGGGTGATCTAGTCGAACCAACTCGACTACGGTCTCGTCGGTATCATCGAATTCTGTTATTCCCTTTGTAATATGTGGTTTTCACTATATAATCTCATATCAACTGAATTGGGGCTATTACCCATCAGGGGGCCTGAACCAGTATAATCTCTGTTTTCTGTTTCCTCGATGTCGTATTACGTAGATCCTCGTACCAGCGTACTCCAATACCCTCTATATCCGGTCTACGGGTATCCCCCGTCGATAATTATGAAAATATATTCAATTATTGATTTGATAAAACTAATTTAGTACTATAAATATTACTATATTTGTTTATAAACTTAGCCAAACTTAAAGTAGTTTGACTTTAATCAAAATCAAAACGTTTTGAAACAAAGAGTACATGTATTTAGAGAGATACTTATATATAAATAAATTTCTTAGGAAATTAGTTTATTTTTATTTATTTATTAACTTTACAATACCTAATTAACTTCATGTACCCTTGAATAATAATAAAAAAAATGAGCCGTAAAAAGAAAAGGCAGTAGTTGGTACCTCGTACGTTACTCGATAAGGTTAAAGATGCATCAAAAATGGCATTGGTGTAATTATCTTCTCTTTACATATACTGCATACGTCAAGTCAGAGGAACGTGGTGGCTGACATGTGAGCCCCACCGCTCACGGGCCCACCTGTCAGTGACCACGTCAGGTGCGAGGATCCGCTTTCCCAGTAGAGGCTCCAGTAGGCAGGTTAGGTCAGGTCAGGTACGGACGCATCCCCTCGATTCCCCTCTCCCCTCACTTTCTCTCTCTCTCTCTCTCTCGACGCGAGCAGATCAGATGTGCCGCCGCCGCCGCCGCCGGGCGAGCCGGCTGGCCGCCATGGAGCTGAGCTGCGACGCGCATCTGCGATTCGGGCCGCCCTCCTCTTCTTCGCCGAAGTAAATAATGCAAAGATGAGAATATGAGTCTAGCTAGAGGTGAGGAACTCCGAACTCCCGATCGACCTAGCTACCCCCCTTTAATCGATGCAGAGGCGCGCGCTAAGCTGCAATTTGATTTCATTTATTTCATGCAGTACTAGATACATATGTACTCCTGTATATTTGATGACCAAATCAACTTCGCATCGAGGCCGGGTTGCATACCTAGCTAATATCACCGACTAGATCTCTCTCCTTAATTAGTGCTGCACTTATTATCATATCAGATTAATGAGGGGTTTGGTTTGCCAATTAATTAAGTTGATGAAAAGAAATTTACTTATCGATTCTTAATTCATTAGCGATGACCTCCCAATTCCCATTAGTATGCTCTTGAGCCTCTTGACTGGAATCAAGTAGCAGTACCCAAGCAACTAATGATGAAGATCGATCTCATGGGTTAGCTAGAAAGAAAGCTCAGAAGTTCCGGTATATAATATCCAACAGTACTAGCTCCCCTGCACCCAAAAGAAGTGGTTCGTTTAAGTGGTCATTTGGTCGGCAAAAGATGCTAACCACCTTAACCTTGTATATTGGTTGTGCGCTTCATTTGGATTTTGCCGTTGTAAGAGTAGTTTTCGTGATATAAGTGTTACTGGTTTGGTTGTGCGCGTACTAGTTATGCACATACAGGGAATGTTCTTAGACGGTTGTATCACCTTTGTATAATTGGTTGAGTTTAATAAAAACTTTCATTATCTAAAAATATGTGTCACCGACATCTAGTACAAGCATATCATCGATGTTGGGTTAACCAAACTATAGCATTTTATTTGTACCTAATTAGGTTATTACCAATTTTCTTTTAAATCCATTTGTCCGGGCTCTATGATAAGAACACATTGCATTCAAAGCTTTTCTTTAGAAGTTCCCAATAATATAATATACCATACATTATTTTGGTCTTCAACTTTTTTCCCTCATCATTACAATACCCAAGTCCAATTTGGATGGCAAGGGCACTTTGCTTTTTCCCAAAAGTATATCATATACTATCTCCATCCCATATCATAGCTATCTCTGCTATTCACACATGCATTAATCACCATCTCAACGAATGTAAATATACGCTTGAAAATACCATATATCATTGTACACATGAGGATTTTGCATAAATCTAGGGTTGTGAAACAGTTTACCCCAAAGAGATAGTATGTTGGTTTTTCTTTTTTTTTTAAAAAAAAAGGATAGATCCTCTTGAGCCAGGTGTACAGAACTATTAAGTTAAGGAAATACTAGTGCAATTTGAAACAAACACTTACAATTGTTATTCTAGTTTTACTAAATGAAACATAATTTGTGAGGATTTCTTATGTGGCTCCATATGAACCGAGCATGATTTAATAGAGGATTATTAATAGTAGTTTAGATCAACTAAAGTTCACATTTATTATTTTTTAAATATATTTGAACAATATAAATGAAATATAAAACTAGCAATAACCTAGCGAGTTTGTTTGCGGTTATGCCAAGCGGGGCAATGAGAAAGTAGGGTGAATATATAATTTAGGGCTCCTTTGGATTATAGGATTTTCATAGGAACAATGAAGAATTATACTCATGAATTTTGTTTGGGACATAAGATTTTGAGTTTTCAAATTCTTACACAATTAATTTATCGTATTCCTCAATTCCATAGGATTATAAGCATAGGCTCCTTTGGAAATATTGTTTCTTTTTTTAAATACTGGGCTGGATTTTTAGGAGGGGTAGTTTTTACAAGTGAGGAACTACAATGGCGGGGAGAAGGACGATGACTTCACTTTTCAAGTAGTACAGATAAATAATTATCTCCATTCTTTCTACATGTTTGTGCATTATTACCTTTTTTTCATCAAAATCATTAAAAAACAACTACATGAAAGTAATTTTCATAACAAATTACCGATACCATTTTCAGATATTAAATATTAACATATTTTTATATTGTTTGTGAGTTCAGATTTCTAGGTTTGACTACACTCATTATAAAAACTTTATCTATTTTAGAACTGACCTCAAAATTCCTGTTGTATTTCATTTATGTGGGATTCAACATATTATATAATATTTTAGAACTGACCTCGAACTTCATCTATATACACTGACGTCAAAATTCCTATTTTTTTCTATAAGCTATTCGTGTCCAAATGAATGAATTCAATAATTCGTGTCGTATTTCATTTATGTGGGATTCAACATACTATATAATAATTCGTGTGTTTTATTCGAATTCCCATGTTCCAAAACACCCACAAACAATATTGAATTTACATATTATTGCAGTGGCATTGCCTAGCATGTACTACATCCGTCCCAAAATATAGCAACTTAGGACCGGATTAAACACATCCTACTAATACAAATCTGGATTGCCAGTCTAGGTTCACAGTTCTAGGCTGCTGAGTTCAAAAGGAGGGGTTAGGAACCCAACCCTTCAACATGTAAAACGAAGCATGGATTAGCGTATGATTAATTAAGTATTAGCTTAAAATAACTTAAAAATTGGATTAATATGATTTTTTTTAAAAAAGCAACCTTCCTATAGATCTTTCTTTTTATAAAAAACACAATTTAACAGTTCGAGAAACTTGCACGTGAAAAAACAAGGGAATAGAAGTTGGGAAGATGTAGTAAAGAACACACCTTAGTATGCGTCTAATCCTGTCCTGAATACAATATTTTGGAACGGAGAGAGTAGTAATGATATATCATGCTGAAGTAGTTGATGAAGCTGATGGATGATAGAAGAGAAGATCTTTTCAATTGGCAAAGCTAGTGGGGTATATATGCTGGCACACTGCTAATTACTACAACTAGGGGTGAAAACAGTCATAGAAATTTCCAACCGATTGACGCTCGTTTTCTACTTTAACTAGCCAAGCAATGTGAAAATGGTTACTGACGAATACTAAAACGGTAAAAAAAAACGTAAACAATTTTGCTATATACCGTCCGTTTCCAAATTTTGTTGTATTCTTATGCAAATTACCTCTTTTATAGTATACTCCCTCTGTCCCATAATATAAGGGATTTTGAATATAAGGGATTTTGATTTTTTGCTTGTTTTGTTTGACCATTCATGTTATTAAAATTTTTTTGGAATTATCATTTATTTTATTTGTGACTTACTTATTATCCAAAGTACTTTAAGCACAACTTTTCATTTTTTATATTTGCACAAATTTTCTAAATAAGACGAGTGGTCGAACCGTACGAGCAAAAAGTCAAAATCCCTTATATTATGGGACATAGGGAGTAGTATTTACCGTGTTTCTATTTGTTTCTTTATTTGACTCATAGTTTAGAGTCCCACCAATTCCTCAACAAAATCTCTAATTTGAGTTGTCGAGCACTTGGTTTGAATGGAGACAATTTACAGTTTATATAGTGTAATCTTGAATTTATTTTGTCACATTATATAGTTATTATGCAAAATTAAATGTAAGACTTTACAGTTCAGTGTTTTTTACCTTTATTATCAGTATTTGAGTGCTTACGCCGTACAGTCCCGTTTCTGATTTTTTTATGCCATTTTTATTTCTGCCTTTCTACATCCCTAACCCTATGTATACAAGTAGCATATACTCTTCTTCTCATAATAGTAGTATAAGATTTTGTGTGGATGTAGAAAGTAAAAAAAAAAAAAAACCAAATCCCGACGCGCATTAACGCATCTCTCTCGTTTTGGTGAGCAGCGGCGGCCACTGGCGGTGGCGAGTCGAGCAGCAGCTGCCATGAAGGGCGACAGGGTGCGGAGGGGGAAGGAGGAGGCGCTTGGCGCCGGCGGGGGTCAGCTCTGCCCTGAGTGCGGGTACGAGTACCCCAACGCCAACCCCAACCCTAGGCTCCGCCGATCCCACAGCAAGAACTGCCGCCGAAAGATGAAGATGCCCGTGGTGGCCGAGGAGGCTGGCGTGGCTGTGCACAAGCGGCGGCGTGGCTTGGCCGTGGAGAACGCCAGTGAGTGTGGTTCTTTGCTCGGGATTTCTTTGGGATATTGATGGTTTCGAGTTCTTGGGTTTTTACGGCGATGCCTTTGCGTGCGCTGTATGTATACAGGTCGGGGAGGAGGAGGAGACAAGGTGGTGCACGAAGGCTCTTCTGAGCAAGGATGCTCGGCGAAAGCTAAGGAAATTTCAGGTATAGATCTCATCTTTGCTTGCTTATTTCCCTCCTTGCTTTGATTGTCCACTACCCTATGTTATAGTTTCCTTAAACAAGGGGTTTGCAGCAGTTGCAGCTTATGTTGATTTTACTGGTTGCCTCCTGATGACTTGTTAGAAACCAACACTAGATTACGGTGGTTTCTGTAAACTAATTTGCAATATTGGATAGCTTGCTTCTGCTAGCTGTGACATGAATTGGGGAATTTGGGAGAGGAGCGGGGCTCAGACGTTTCAGTTAATTTGGTCGGGCGTCTTGCTAAGAGATTTGTTTGTTCTTACCCAAAGAAAAAAAAAGGGGCTTAGTGGAAGCTGCAGTCTGTTGTGTTGGTTTTTGTATGAGCTAAGGCTTGTTCTTTTGCTCTTGTTTTCAGGGATTCATATTGTTGATTTTACACCTACTTGTAAGCTATTTACTACAAGATTTTTCGTATACTTAAGAACTCACGATATTTCGTCAAGCTAGAAAGTATCCATGTTATGCTCTAGGTAGAAGCAATGCGTTACTGGCATATGGTGCACAATTGTTACACCGGAAAAGCTTTAGTGATCCTTCCATGCTTCATTTGCTAACTCTTTTAGGTTTTGTAGGAGAACTGGAGAATAATTTTATAGCCCCTGCAGTTTTCATTCTTGTCGCGGACATTTGTTGCTTTGCTTGTGTGCATATTTGGCAAGGATCAGTTTCTTTTCTTTTCCTTTTTACCGCAGGCTCTCTTTCTGTGAGTTGGTAGAAAAAAAAAGTTTGGTGCTGGTCTGGCTCCATATGTTGTTGATTTTGTTTGTTGTTTTGAATTGCAGCTGAGCCAAAACTGATGGCCGATGATCCAATGTCATCACATGAGAAACATATGATATGCCATCGTCACTATAAGCTCTACCCTACCAAGGTTGCACCACAATGCAATGATTTGTCTTTTGGACCATTTTTGGGTCTTCGTAGGAAGGCCATGATTGTGACTAAAGGTAATTAAATACTTCATTTATTATCCTTGTCAAACATACGTTTGAAATGATCAGCAGTAAGAAAGGTTCTAAAAGAAATTGTAGCCTTTTTTGTGTGTTTTAGTGTGCAATTTCTAAATCATCATTATCCCATAAGGTCTAAATTTAACTACAATCCCTTCTGCGGATCTGCCCATTGAAGTTTCAGGTTGGAGAGATGGAACTTTATGATACGTATATTCATTAGACGTTCTTTTAGACCAAGTCAAATACAACATTCTAGTTATGATGTATTTAAAATTGCTTTCTTTACTTTGCTACTAATGCTTGATATCGAACTGCTTAGATTTTCCCTGAAATACATTGTTAATATTGCTGGGTAGGCCTGTTCAAACCAGTTTGACCCAGTTTTCACGTTCAATAATTACTGGTAATACTTATATAAACAGTATCTTGGCTGCTGTAGAATGGATTAATCTAAATCAAACTAGCTAACTTATATACAAGCATTGACCTATAAAATACTTATAGAAGCACAACCTAACTAAGGGACAAACCTGCAGCTTGACTATCACGTGGTATAGGAGTTGTGGGAACGCTAACGCATCTATATAGTAATATGGTTTATATGATGAATTAATCTTTGTAGGCATTAAAGTGATGTCAGGAGAAACACTTGATTATAAGCCAGAAGGAGGCCGAATCATGTTCTTATTTGAGGTTCAATCTTTCATCCATATCATTTTCATTGTCTTGATTTGGTTATTTGTCACACATTGTATATTGGTCTTGTGTTGTAGGCTGGAGTTGTGGATGAACTGCATGCTAGTGCCATCAGAGACCCTATTGGTATATATTTGAAGGACAAAAATGAGACAATGTGCATTGGCTCCATAACCAAGGCGCAACCCAGGGCACGGCTCTGGTTGATGCTATCAGAAGAAATGAAGCTATTTCACAATTCTGAGAGGAGGTCGGTGTACTTCAATGGATATGAGTTTTATCCTATGTATAAGCGCTTGCATCCATTGGAGACATACAGAAAACTATGGGGTACATTCTACACATATCTTATTTTCTGACCTTTCTTTAATATTTAGAAGTTTGTTAAATTTTCATCTACCACTTTAGTTTTTTGTTGGTTGATGATTCTTTTAGAGTGGGGACTGGGGAGTACACTACTTGTTAAAACCTTTTCTTTTTGTTACGCAAAGTTAACATTTCCTAGAAAAAAAGGCAGATCAAGCTAAAGAAGGATTCCCCAATCAGTAAAGAGATGGGGGCAAGGCACGCTGATAGAAAATGGAGCCGATATTCTCACACGTCAGTGTGCAGGTTGTGGTTGTGGAGATGTCACAGGTCCAAGAGAGCAGAGAAAGGGAGTGATGTCCAAACCTGAAACTGCTGACAGTAAGGATGAAGTGTGTGAGCCCTTATTGGCTATAGGAGGGTACTCCTCTGTCCCAAACTAAGTCAACTTTTGTACACGAATCTAGACATAGCCTATGTTTAGATTTCATGTATAAAAGTTGATTTATTTTGGGATGGAGGGAGTAGAGAAGACAAGATGCTCATGCTGGTCACCTTGAAGTTGCACGATTCTAGGGTGGCAGTGAAGTTGCAATTGCACAGGTTATCAGCCAATTATCCACCTTTATAGAGTTGTGGATTTGTGGTTCACTGGTTAGGTCAGCAAGCCCCAACAGGTGGGGTAGCTGTGTCAGGCAGGCATCAGTGCAGCTTCAGGCAACTACTGGGAAACTATGACAACACCGAGGGTTGTGTTCGCTGAGGCAGCAGGTACACCATTGAGCCAACATTGATGAGGGTGGGAGGCTAGAAAAGGAGAAGGGGGAGTGGTAAGGGGTGTATTCGCTAGGGCACTCCTCGTTCATCCTGCCTTCTTGCTCCTATTAAACCTGAATTTTAATTGTAGTAGTATTAGATGATATGTGAATTTCTTGTCTTACATTGTACAAACAAAATCTAACAACTAATTGCAGACAGTTATGGCACTCATCTCTAAATTTAATTAGAGATAATATCAAACGTGTAGAAACAATTTACACATTTATGTTCTGCATACTGCTCCACCTGCCTTTAATCATACTTGTATTAAATGACTTCTAAAATCCAGCAATTATGAACATGAATGCTACTCCCGCCGTCCCAAAATATAACAACCTAGCTAACAAGGTTTGTCCCAAAATATAGCAACTTCTCCACTAACATTCACTTCCCAACCAATCACTTTTCCTACCAAGCTCCACTTCTCAACCAATCACAAACTCTTCCTATTTAGTTCTACTTATTTTCTTAATAACCGATGTCCAACTCTAAAACTTCTTATATTCTGGGACGGAGGGAGTACTTGATTATTTCTGGTGATCATGATTGCTACTTATGGTTCTAGTGGTTGTGTCTTTTATCATGTCCCCCTCCTTGACTATATTTTGCTGTGGTGATGACATTAAACTAGTTACATTTTTTCCCTTTCTAGTTGTGGAAGTGAAACCATTTGAAGATGCTTCTTTTAATCCTGTAGAGGATGAGAGGAAATATTATCTATTGAAGGTTTGAGATTCACACATCACCTCTTCAATCTTCTTGTTGCTTTTGCATATTTTTTCTTACTTCTGTTTATGCTTGTTTTGGGTTGCAGGTCTTTTCAACTGCGATTCCTAAAGAAGAAATTGATGTACATGTTCGATCTAACAAGGAAGTTAAAAGGCTTGGGGTTATTTCATCTTATGACACTTCATTCTCCTGTAAATTGGACTTTGAAGACCAGTTTACTCTATCACATACTTCACAAGAAGAGGATGTGGTATTCTATGGATACACACTTCGTCACGTACAATATCCTTTCTTTTACCTTTATTATCATAATATTTGTAGTTACAGATTTATTCATGAAGGCTTAGGCTACAATTCAACATAGCTATGGTCTGTGGAAACTCAGTGCGATTGACCCACCATGGGTTTGAGAGAGCAAGAGGAGGGGGCAGGGGTGTTAGATGTATTACATAGCTAGCTGTGTATTTACAGGGCGCTTTCTGCACTTGTAAACAGTTCCATTGTATACCTGTTGGTCCATTGCAATTCCAAGTCCATTTGTGCTTAACGGTACCACGTCAATGAATGCTAGGCTGGCACAATATTATTATTTGTTTACATTGATATAATCACACTCTGTTTACTTAACTTCTATATGATGATGGAACTTCGTTTGAATATAGAGGTACGCAACCTTCTTTTAATATTTCATCTGCTCTCTTGCTCTCTGTACTAAATTTTCTACTCTGTAGAGCTGCCTATCTCATGTCCCAGTCTTCTTTGCACAGTCAAAATATCAGGTTTACCTCTGTTCATCTTTTTAACGTAGGACAATGTTCAGTTTAGATTTGCAGAACTTTGATGTTTGCTTTAATTTGTTGTTAATACAGATGATCCAGAGTATCGTGCGTCTAAGGCACTCACTGCAAAGAGAGAACCAGAGATGACGATTGTGCCATATGTGCCAGATACAGTTACCTACTGTGGCGATTCTCGGTGATGGACCTATCTGGTGCAAGGTAACCTACGAATCATATCATGTTGAATTTGCGTCCCTTGGAAAGGAAAATATTTCAAAACTGTTTGCATATAACTTATTTTGTAACTCGGTGACGTGTTGAATTCTGCAAAGTTTGTGTCCTATCTAACGTTTTGACTCCCACCTTTGATCGAACGTAATGTAAATGTATACTGCTGCTGCTACTCTTTGTCTGTACGATTTCACCTTGTCGTCGTCAATTTGCCAAATATATTGTCTTTTCCCCAAATACATGCCATCCAAGTTGGCTAGTTTGCACTCGGTGCTGATGTGGGCTAACTGTTGTGTTGTGTCGACAGGCTTTTTTGATGTGAAATATTTCTGGAGCTGTCAACGAGACCTGAGACCCACGTGTAATTTTCCAATGAGAACAAAATGCTTTGTCACCCGAAGCCTAATGTAGGAGTATAAATTAACCACTGTGCGCTTTGTGCTCATGTATGTTTATAAACGTTCTGACTCCTGTCTCACGCGTTCAGATTCCCTGCAAGGTTTCGCGGTTCTGTTGCTGCGCGAACTGTTCATAACTTTTATTGTATGATCAGTCTTTTCTCCGTGTTGTTAATGGCTGGATGCCGGGACACTTGTTATATATGGCTTCACAACGGACGAACGAGCGATTATCAAACTTGAAAACCTCGTGTTCCACTTCTCTCCGTACTCTGAATTGTTTTTGGCTCTTACGTTTTCTGAATTGTTTTTTGCTCCTTGGAAAAATTGACACGTGGAAAACTATTTTACAAAGACTTCATATCATATATGCACAAAATCTCGTGTAGGTCTTCAACCGCCCGACGTCTTAGTTGTATAAAGACATGACCGTGAAAAAGTTCTCTGTTATTACACGGGATATTGATACACGGCCTCTGTTAGGTCCTGTGTGGAAATTACGATGATGGTAAGGTGCTTAGCGGCGGAAACAAAGAAACTAAAGCTAAGCAAGTCAGTGGCAGGAGATACCATCTGTTGTACGTGGAGATACCATCCTACTAGGGACGTAAGTGGGGTGGACAAATGGGATTTTTTCCTGTTCATCCCACTTCTAATTTATTTTTTCTTCTAATTTATTTTTTCTTCTAAAATTTATGTTACCATGAGGTCCATGAACTAATAAGCGGAGTGGAATTGCCCACTGACATCCTTTCTCCGGTCCTCTACCGCATCTGGCCCACAACCATAATGATTAGCAAGAACCTTTCCTTCATCGGAGCCGAGCCCCCCTCTTCTTTGCACTCGCACTCACCCGAGCCAAGAAAGACATCAGCGCATACAATTTAGATCAGCCTCTCCCCTCCAAGACCCAACAGACCCAGCTCGTGAATTGTTGGGACGTCATTTGTGTCGGCCATGGAGATTGTAAGACCTTGGTACCCATGGCTTCGACGTAACTTCTACAAGCTACAGGTTTTTTACTGTCCTTGAGATAGTTGCCGTGTACTATGTGAACTTATCGTGCATCATCATTTTACAAGTTTAATAAATCTGTGATATCTACAACGAATAAGTACCTCTGTGGGAACGCTCAATGATTAAACAAAATATAGTTACTACTATAAAGACAAACTATCGATTAGGGGAATTGTAAACTGTACAGACCGACCATGCGGTAAATTGTTGAATGTTTACAAGGTCAGCAGTCCAACGACTCCAACCATCCATCCAGACATCGAATGCGAAAAGTAGATTATTTATCCAAGTCATCAACAAAAAGAAAAGTATCTGATCACTGTACAGTTTGCGCAACCACCATTGCATAACCATGGCACGCCTGGACAAGAGAGCTGAAGAACAGTGCCATCTGGATGAGCAGAAGAATCAGACGACAGAAACAACGCAGTACAACACAACGGCATTTACATGCATGAGCAGAGCATAGTGGTTATACCTTGTGTGAGGAAGCGTTGTTACCATTAAAAAGCATTGATCCCAAATTGCATCCGCACAGCTCCAGAAAATATTCACATCACAAGATCCTATCGACAAAACACAATAAACTGATATTAAGAAAAAAAGCACTCACATTGCAATATGGCAATATTGTTTATAGACTAGGTTGTGGTGATTATCCATAACTGATAAACAAGAGTGAAGGAAGATGTTCATAATCTTCTGTAAATAAGAAGCCTTGCAGACCATTCAGCTATGTCAATTCGTCTCTCGTTATAGTTTCTACTTTTTACAGTAGTTGTCAGTCAGTTCATCTCTCGTTATAGTTTCTACTTCTAACAATAGTTGCCTTGGTAGAAGATGGTAATTGGTGAGAGTTATGGATTGCTACTATGGTATCAGCCTGGGGTGAGTAATACTGACAAATAATGTGACTAAGTAAATTAGAATAATCTGGATGGCTGGGACATAACTTTTTAGTTGGGTGGTCACCACTGACTACCATGGAGATGTGTTACTTTTTCATCCCCTTTACGACACCCAGCCAGAATAGGGTAGAATGCATAAATGAGTAGTAATAGCAGTAGCTGCTTGGGCAGGGCAATCTGCCGGTTATCTCAATCCTGGGGAGGATATAAGGCCTCATTGATTTAAATACTGATTAACATCATTTGATAAAAAGGGAAGAAACCAGCTTTTGGTATTCCAGAATCAAACACTAACAAAATATAGATGATACAGACCTTTGGATATTGTCCCACAGCACACTGCACTCAATCAGATCCATAAATGCTGATGGTTGTCTGCCTAAGTACTTCAGAAGTCCTGTCAAGGCTGTGAGATGCCACCTATCATGTCAAAAGGAGGGCATGTTATTCGAAAATTCCTGATGATTGAAATGGAGCCGTTAATAAAGGCGGGTGAGCCTACTACCAGATATGTGAGGGCTGCGTATCTTTCTTGGCTTAGATACAAAGGCTTTCCTCTGTGCATGTCATGATCCTGCAACCAAATAGCAATACATGAGAAGAAAAAAGGCATAGGATCACATATAATGAAATTACCCATAGCATTGCCCAAGGCCATCAAGGGGTCGTTTGGCTCACACATCCTTGGTAGCATATGCCCCAACCTCAGGTGAGAACAAGCCTCATCCTTGTAGCATTACCCTAACCTTTATAGCTTCTTTGCATTGCAAGGAAATATCTCAATAATCTACAAGGCATGCATCCTATACTCTAATTCATCCCATCTAGAAATCAAATCATATGCCATCAATCCGTCCTAGGTGCAATGTTTTAAACGATATGCATACAGGTAAAAAATCTTCACAGCACCCTGCCCTGGTTCCGTGTATGTATACTCAACAGTGGCAGTAAAGAGAAGTTACGTCTGGTTTCAGTCAATGGGATCTTCACGGTATTGACAGGATAATTCTTCAGTTCATTTGATGATGGTATTTTACATCAAGGCAGTTAGTGTTCGATCTTACAATTGCTCATCGAATTATGGGTGGAGAAGATTGCTCAGCCAAGGTCCATTCAAGAGCATAATTTCATGAGGCACACTAGCATAGAAGCATGCTGGCGCAAGAATGCAAGGATAGCAAGGCAAGCGGGGATAGTGAGGCAAATAAACATGCTTTAGTGCCAGCAAAAAGCTATTCAGTATTTAAATTAATCCAGTACCTCCTCACCGAAGGCGTCAAGGTAGGGAGATGGCCAAAAGGCGAGACGAATAGATCGCTGCAACAGTATTGTTGTTTTCTGCACAAAACAGACAACAAAATTGAAGAAAGCAATCTCAACACCGATAACAAGAATGATATGCAGTCACAACTTAATACATACCCTAACCAAAAGAAATATGCCAACGCCAGCACCACATTGAGACGCATGATTAAGGCACTTTCCAGTCCTACACACAATATACAAAATAAAAGTTTACCCTCACTTCATAATTAAAACACAACCAGCAAGAGTGAAACAAGAACTAAATGAACACCATCACCTGCAGCATGGTTTCCAACTAGGCGAACATAGCTTGCCACAAAGTAAACATAATGCTGGTTCATCAGGCACTGAACCGCAATCAGGGCATTGCATCTTGACATATCTAATGGGAAAAACAGTAAGTGTTAGCCTTCAGCCTTAAAAGCAATATATGGTTCCTGAAGACCCAGAACCAGAAAGGGAGGGAATCAATCAAAATTAGGTTCAGATTAAACCTTTCCAGGAGAACTTGATAGACAGGAGGCAACTCCATCAGCCTAAATGGCACTGCTGGGGTAGAGAAATGAACGCCTCTATATTTACGGGTTTTGTAATCCTCGCAGAAATGTTGTGTCCATTTTAACGCAAGCATATGTACAGATTCATCTTGGAGAATTGGATCCAGTGACTGAATCTGAAACAGGTCTTCCAATTCCCTTATCCCATTCAGCTCCACTGCCAGTGAGTCTGCCGCGCTATTATTCAAGTAAAGATGTGATGATCCTTCCCAGATATTAGAACTGTCATACAAAGGTGCTGAGGAAGACGATCTTAGAAGCTCCCATAGTAACGCACACCTCCGAAGATACGGATAAGTCAATCTCCGGACCATATCTTTTGGGTGACAAGAAGGATCAATGTGTTTGGATACAAAATATTCTCTAGCAATATCAATTGTTGACATAGTCTGGCAAACATCATTAAGGAGGCAGTTGCTGAAACTTGATCTGTCAAATGTTTCTTCTCCATAGCATGTTATCAATGCCTACAACACAATGCATGCCATAAAACGTAATGAAGTAATAAAAAAGGATAATATGCACATTCCAGGAGATGGCAAAACAGCATACCTGAACAACACAAACAACATAGAATAGGTGGACGAAAGGGATGAAGAATTCAGTGGACATTAGAAACTGAACAGGTAAACAGAAAAGAGTTGACAACAATGATGAAAAAGGATCTTGAGCAAGGACTGGATCTGCACATTGTTTCCAAAATTGGATATCAGGGAAGACTCCACCCTCACTAGTGGGGTCACCCATCGGTGGCATAATGCCTGTTGAAAATGAAAAAATGTGAGGGGATATTCAAGTATGATATCGTGCATAATGTATATGCAATTAAAAATGCACATGCAGAATCTAGGATGCAAGATACGGCACACAGCTCACGTATCCGTATCAGATACATTCTCGGATAAGGATACAGATCGGATACCCTCCGATACATATCCCATACATATTCTTGATTAACAAGGTTTTCAAATAAACAGAATAATTCAGGATATGCTCTCGATACGATCAATGTGCCGCCGCCATCTCCTGGCCTCGACATGACGACGCCCATCTCACAAAGCGCAGCAACGATGATGCTGGACACCAAGGACTGCCATTATGCCGCAGCACCTTCGCCATCTGCCGGCCGTCATGGTGCAGCTGTATGCCGCAGCGCCTCCGCCATCCACCGGCCGTCATGGTGCCGCCATATGCCACAGTGCCTCCGCCATCCGCCGGCCATTGTGGTGCCACCATCTGAAACAGGGTCTCTACTGGCAGCCGGCTGCCACAGCTCCGCAACCAGGCATAGCCGCACAGCCTGTGCTGCCTAGTACTTGGTTCTTCCAGTCCACTGCAGATCTTACTTTCTTAGTACAAGACTACAAGTGACATATCTTGTTAGATGCGATGGATATTGATGGAAGCTTGAATGGTAATGCATCTAGCATTCCAACTGCTAGTGTGGCTGCTGATGCAGCGGGGCGATGGAAGAGAGAA